GAGCTTCATTGCTGAGTGGGATTTGAATCTGGGTCTTCCCAATCTTAGTTTGAGACTTCGTTCTGTAGCACAGATTGCTGAACCTCAGGGTCTGGGGGCCAAATTTGGGCTTCTGGTAGTCCTTATCCAACCTTCCAGTGTTCCACAGCAGTGCATACCCCTTCCACTAGCCCTACCCATCCCCCAAGTATTTGAAGATTTCCCAGCTTTTATTATGTTTCCCCCTTGCTCTGAAAGGTTGCAATGCCTCTCTTAAGGGTTAGTTACCAGCAGTACGAACTTTAAACTCAAATATGCTTGAAGTTTTCTTAAGTTCACAGCTGGGGAAAACACTGAGCAAGGACGCAGGCCACACCCAGTCTTCCACACTATGGAGATTTATGTTATGTTTCTATTTCCATAGCAGTATTTATTTCTAAATTTGCATATCTGTATATTTAAATCAGCACATGTACTTTTAATGCAGAAAGTTGGACTATAAGGAAGGCTGAGCGCCGAAGAATTGAGGCCTTTGGTGCTGGAGAAGTCTCCTGTGAGTCCCTTGGACTGCAAGGCAATCAAACCAGTCAGTCCTAGGGGAGATCAACCCTGACTGCTCTTTAGAAGGCCAGATACTGAAGATGCAACTCAAATACTTTCGCCACCTAATGAGAAGGAAGGACTCACTGGAGAAGAGCCTAATGCTGGGAACAATTGACAGCAAAAGGAGAAGGGGATGGCAGAGAATGAGGTGGCTAGATGGAGTCACTGAAGCAGCTGGTGTGAGCTTAAGTGGACTCAGGAGGATGGTGGATGACAGGAAGGCTTGGAGGAATGTTGTCCATGGGGTCGCGATGGGTCGGACAGAACTTTGCGACTAACGACAAGAAGGGCATCCATCATGGGTCTGGAAACTGGACTAAGAGAAAAGCTGCAGGAAATTGCAGCTTCACAATCAGTGAAGACAATGCATGTTAAGAGCCCTCCCTGTCCTGCTTATAGTGGTGAAGAAACAGGACTTTGAAGACATACTGCAGGTGCAGAAAGTGTAATTTTAGCCATTGCCTCAGGTTAGGTGAGTGCTTTTCTGGCCATCTTTGAGACCTTGCGGATGTGTTTGAGGGTAGCAGTTTTGTCTGCACTGAGGAAAATAATGCAATTATCACAGAGTCCCTATACCAGCAGCCTTCTGCAACATAGCCCCTTCTACATGTTTTGAACTGCAACTCCCATCTGCCAAAGCAAGCATGACCAGTAGGTATGCTCACCAGGGGTAATGAGCGTTATACTCAAACTCCTCTGGAAGGTACCAAACTGGGGGAAAACAGTGACCCTTGTTTGGGATATGGTCTGGAAAACAATATCAAGAACTGCAAAAGAAATATTTTCCTGTGGCTTCTAAGGAATGCATTCATGGCACTTAATAAGCAATAGTCTTAATAAGAAGCATCTGGTTTGTTTCCATGCAGGGAAAAAGACTGATCAAGCAGCAGTGATGGCTTAAATTTTTTTTTACATATTGTACAGAATACATGAAAATTGCATCATTTCAAAAGTCAAAGAATAAAGGTGTAAACAGGTTGCCTTGCTTGCTTACCAAAACTATTATATTACAAGAAGTAAGTTGCATAACAAAAAGAAAGAATGAATGGGAAGCCACCAAAGACCCAACTATAACTCTGGAATCTTAGGGCAAAAGCAGGTCTGAAAGGGAGAATTACTTGGAAAAATGCAGCAGCAGCTTGGGAAACAGTGAAGCATGCCTTTCATCACTGCTTGTTCATTCAAATCATCCTCTTTAAAAGATGATTTCCCTTTTTTCAAAAAATACCACAACTGTCAAGGCACACCATTTGGTTCTCTGCACTTTGGTAGCATTAGTGGTTCTGTCAATGAAGGTTAATTTTTGGCATTATGTTTTCTTCTGAGCCTCTTTTCTCCCTCAAAGTGAGATACTAAAATCAACTTTAAAAGAGGGTGTATATTGTTATGAGCCAGGATACTGACAAAACACAGGATAACTGTATCATGGAAATGCAGACAATTGTGAGCAGTTGTGCACAGCTCATTGTAGCATAGGAATTTAAGAAAAGCCATGCTGGATCAGACCGGTGGTCCACCCAGTCCAGCAATCTATTCACATGCTGGCAACCCAACTGCCCACAAGAACCCTCAAGCAAGATAAGAGTTCCACCTGTCCAAGCTCCTCTGCAACTGGTGTATTCAGTAATGCCACCTCTGATAACAGGAGTGGCAAATAGTCAGCAGGGATAGTAGCCATTCACAGCCTTCTCCTTCATGAATTTGTTCCATCCCCCTTTAAAGCAATCTAAAATGGTGGCAACCACTGCTTCCCATAGCAGTGAATTTCCTAGTTTAACTGTGTGCTCTGTGAAGAAATACTTATCTTTCTTGAATCTAGCATGAGTGAGCTTCTTGGAGCAACTCCAGGTTTGAGAATTATGGGAGAGAGAGAAAAATGCCCCCTTTTCCACACCATGCATAACTTTAAACACCTCTATGTTTCCACTTCCTAGCCGTTTTTCTAAGCTAAGCAATCCCAGTTGTTGTAACAGTTCCTCACAGAGAAGTTGCTTCAACCCCTTCAGCATTTTAGTTGCCTTTTTCTAATTCAATAATGTCCGTTTTCAGTTGCAGTGGCCAGAACTATACACAATATTCCAAAGGCAGTAGCACCAAAAATTTGTAGAAGGCAAGTTATGATCTTGAGTGTTATATTTTCAGTTCCTTTTCCAAGTATGCCTAACATGGAGCGTGCCTTTTTTGCAGCAGCGACATACTGGGCAAACATTTTCATCGTGCTATCAACTACAATCCCATTCTTGAGAAGTCATTGCTAGCTCAAATCCCATTAGCCTATACTTGTAGAGGGTTTTTCTGCCACAACATGCATTACTTTACACTCGTTAACATTGAACTGCATTTGCCATTTTTGTGCCCATTCTTCCAACCAGGAGAGATCCCTTTGAAGCTCCTCACAATCCCTTTTGGTTTTAACCAAACCTTCAGCAAACGTGGCTACTTCACTGCTTACTCCTAATTCTGAATCATGTATGAATAAGTTGATCCTTCTAATACAGAATGCTATGGAACCCTTCCCTTTCTACTCTGTTTACTGATCTGCAAGAGGAGCCTCTTCAGTGATCATGACTCTTTGTTGAGGGGTTTTATCAAAGCCTTTTGGAGTCCAAGTACATAACGTCTACTAGATCACCCTTGTCCATGTGCTTATTGACATTCTAAAAGAACTCTAATAGGTTAGTGTGACACGACTTACCTTTGTGGAAGCCATGTTGATTCTTTTTCAGAGGGCTTCTCCCTCTATGTGCTTACTGATTCTATCTTTAATAATGCTTCAACCAATTTACCCAGACAAACTAGTCTGTAATTCCTGCTGGATCCATTTTTTAAATTTGTTATGCTGGACATTCTCCAGTCCTTTGGTACAGAGGCTGATATTAGGGACATATTACAAACCTTTGTAAGAAGATCAGCAATTTCACATGTGAGCTCTTTAACAACTCTAGGAGGCAAACCATCTGGGTCTGGTGATTTATTAACTTTCAGTTTGTCAATAAGATCGAGAATTTCATTTTTTGACACAGCAGCCAGTTTATTTCAGGGTTTTGAGGGCCCTTGGCAAGGTACTCTTAATTGGTCCCCTCCCTGAGTGAGTCTATCTTCTCACCAGCATTGTTACCACCTGACCTTGCTCCTTATCCTCTTTCCCATTAGTGCCACCACTTACTTACTTGGCATGCAAAGAACCAGTGAGCAAGTAAACAGTGGTACCTACAGCTCCTCCTCCACACCCGCACCATAGTCTGGGTTAGAGGAAGTAAGTGGTAAAGAAGAATGTTGCAGGAAGACTCCTGCTTGAAGTCCTGGAGAACCACTACCAATCAGGGTTGACCAAATATAAGGCAGGATAATGCAGCTTCCTAGATACAGTCCCAATCATTAGCTCTGATAGCAGCACTACTACAGTGGTTGAAAAAAAGTACTGTCAGGACTCATTGAATGGACTGAGTGGAAAATCTCTAAACAGGTTTGCAGAAGTTGGTATGCCTATGTGCAAATCCTGTATTTTACATATTTCTTTGTAGTTAAATATACTCTAGTTTGTGGTCAACCCAAAAGGCTTTCTTTGTTTATACTATTTTCAACATATGGAAATAATTTCCCCAACACAAGGGAATGCATACATCCTAACAAACCATATCAAAAATATTTCAGTTGGTTTTGGCTTGTCCCTGAGAAATGGCTACATTAATTTCCAGCCTATTATATCTTTGCTTTATTTGTTATTTTAAGATACAGAAAAACCTTGCCAATGCTTAGGAGACAACCCAGAGAATAAGAAGGGTGCCTAACACCTACTGAAGTCAATAATATCTTAAGAGGGAAGTTAAGTCATACTGAGTTGATTTGAATATGACAGCTGCCATGAGGATAGTGCTGGGGAGGGACTCTGTGTGGGGCCCATCATATTTAAATGGCTTTAGACTGTGCGCTGCCTAATTAGCCTGTAACAAATTGCACACAAAAATATCTGCTGCTTGGGTCAGATAATTAATAGCATATAAATGCTAGACATGTATGAGCAGAGAGCCTATTAAATATGCCTGGTGTGCTAGGTAAATCCTTTTGATTGGCCTTCAGATGGCGCCCTGAAAGAGATGCAAGTGTACCACATTATTAGGCCCATTAGCTTGGGTCCAGCACCTTCACTACAGCAAATTGGCATTCTCACTCAGCTTCCACAACTAGATAGCAAAGTTAATGTTGCCCTTTGACATCTTTTTCTTCTGCTTCCACTGTACATTTGTTAGCACTTTCCCAATCTATTAAGTTAAATTAATGCACCAAATAGATTGCTGTGATAAATGCTGTTTGCCTTTTAAAACTGTCTGTTTGCCAACTCTCTAACAATGGATTGAAAAGCAAATGTTGAGTGGTTTTCTTATCCAACAGCTCTTGGACCACCTGGGCCTCATGACCTAATTGTCAGTGTTTGATTTGCAGTGAGACTGGTTAAGTACTTCTCCTGGGAAGCTGCATCCTTTCTGGCTTGGAATAGCAGGCAGGACTCTGTTTGTCCGGAGAGGCTCTGCTGATGGCATGGGTAAGAAAGAGTACAGCAAGTGACTCTGAGAAAGGCCCACTTTGGAGGCTTTGGTTGTAAGAGCTGGTGGAAGAACAGAGGTGCCAGTCCTTAAGGAGTTTAAAGATGGCGGCTTTGATTCCTTGACACCCTGAGAAGCTTCGCTGGGTGGTAGCTGGCCTGGAAGAGAGAAGTCAGAAACAAACCAAGAGATCAGTGCTTAATTTTCAGGGTACTGCAGTCCACTGAAAACAAAAGGGATGGTGCACTGTACTGTCTTACCCTTTCAGTTGCACCATCGTAGTTCAAGAATTGTCCCATCTGCAGTCATGTTGTACCATATACACTCCAGCTGTACCCATTTTCCTAACCGCTACCCTTATTTTGTCTCCAGTTTTTACCTTTTGGGGAGATGCTGGGTATATCTTAATAAAAATAAAAACAAAGGAATCTGTGCACTGGAGTGTCTGTCCTTAAGATTTTAGCTCTCTTTTTTGTATTGTTTCACTGCAGTTAGTGAACTCATTTTGAAGGGTTAAATATTCTTGGATACAGCCTATTTGGGTTTTTTGATTTTTAAGAGTGCAACTCTATGCAGGCTCTAGCAGTAAAAAAGATCTTACAACTTCCAGTTTGCTGCTGCTTTGTCTGCCCAATGTGGCTTTTTCTTAAAAAAAAAAAAAAAAAAACCAGCTGATACATCAATCATGGATTCTCCTTCCCCTGTCCCTTTTGATTGCTCTGTTACTGTTTTCACTGCAAAACAGAGAAACACAAGCATTCTTTGGCTCCATCTTTTTATGTACACATTTAACCCTCTCAGAAAGAATTTCTCTGTGTGTGTTTTAATCAATATTGCAGAGATCTCATTGACTTTGATGTAGCTAAGATCCTAATTCAGGTTCTGAATATTTCTCGTCTTGAGTGTCTTTCTTCTTCTTGGGCATCCACCTTCTCATCTTATTTCAGTCCTTAATTCTGCTGTTTTTTGTTTTTTCTATTTTGTCATTACAGCCATTTATTGACTGTATTTTCCTCTTGAATGACTAGCTTTGCCTGCCTGTAATCACTAGCAAGTGCTTCTTGCATCTTTTCATATCCTCCAAACACATGCACAACAACTGATAAATACTTTATTTGCTGAGTATGCCATTCCTCCTATGAATACTGCCTACAGTTGCATAAGCAAGTTCCCTTTACTGGGGAGTATAAGGCATTTGAGTCTGGTTTATTTTCAACTACTTTGCAATAAATGCAGTTGAAACTAAAGCAGTTTACTTCCAGTTAAAATTAGGCCCAACCTAGGTATAACACTTACTGTCATGCACATTAGCAGCAATTGGCTAGGGGAAAATACTGAAGGGAAATCTATTTTTTAAAAAGATAAATTACAGAGACTTTTCTGTAGCACTGGAATTCTTGAGTTAGCTGAGAATTTGTCCTGGAAATAAGTTATGTGTTTGTTTTCTCATATGCCCAACCATACGACATGCATCTGTGATTGTTATCTAATCTTGTTTCTCTTGAAAACTGCTTATGAATCTTCAGCTGAAATCATGGAGCAGATTAAAGACATCTTCTATGGATGTTGCTTATTTCTGTTCAATCCAAAATCCTTCTCCATTTGGAAGAGGAAAACAATGACATGGGAACAGCTACGTTTACATGCACAGCTTCTTTACGCATTCATGCAGGAGCTGCCCATCAATAAAATGGGTAGAGTCAGACTGACCAAATAGGTAGTTTTTCTGAGCAGACAAGCTTCCACTTTCAAATACACGTGCATGTAGCAAAAAAGCAAGAATTTCATACAGGACAGCTGTACACTATTTTGCCTAAACCCATGTAAGAACAATGTCACATGCTATATGCTCCCCAAACTCTGCTAGAAAAAAGCACTTTCAGGAGCTTGTTAGAGCAGGGTTGGGAACATATGGCCTCTAGATGTCCATTTCTGATCAGCCTTGGTGAGCCTGGCCAACAATCTAGGATGTTGGGAGTTACAGTCTAGCATCATCTAGAAGGTCAGAAGTTCCCCACTGCTGTGCTTAGGGCAACAGCCCTGAACATCTAACTATGTCTTCATGTTCTTGGAAAATGTGAAAGAATATGAACCACTCCCTTTCATGGGAGCCTGGAGGTTTGACAGCTAGCTGTCAAAACTTAGTTCCTTTTAAAGGGTTTTGTTTTGACAGAACTCCCCAGGGTTTTTCAAAAGGACACATGCAATCATGAATGGATATGTTCCTCTGGGGGTAAAACAAGCAAGCAAACATGGGGAGCCTACTCCTGAAACCCCTCTGAAAAGGAATCAAAGTTTCCACAGGTAGCTGTTACTACTCTATACTTCTGTAAAGGAGGTGGCTCACGGTTTTCCACTTTCCCAAACACATAGCCTCTAAGGCATGGGTCCTCAAACTAAGGCCCACGAGCCGGATATGGCCTGCCATGCTCATTTATCTGGCCCACCTCAGAGCTTTTGGACTTGCTCGGAGAAAACGATCTCCAAGTGAGTCCAAAAGCTCTAAGCTGGCACAGGCATTCTTTCAAACTGAGCAGAAAGCCAGCGCACACGCCAAATGTAACAGCTCAACTGTGCATGTGCCGGCTCTTCCCCCCACATTGCATGCATATAAGAGTGGGAATATAGAGCAGGAAACAGAAGAGAGGAGGGCAGAAGAGCGAGAGAATGACGAAGACACTAAAAAAGGACTGGAGGTAATCAAAATACAACTTTTAAAATACATTTTAAAGTATGTGAGCCATGTCCCTGGGCTGTGGGCCAAGCTGCGGCCGCCTTGCCGAGCCCGGGGGCTGCTGCTCGATGATGGCCACAGCTTGCCCAGAGAAGGCTGCGGCAAAGGCACGGGATCCGTGGCTTTCTATGACCAAGCCCCCACTGCCATCGAGCGGCCACCATGCTTCTTCCCCCTGTGGCAGGGAGAGGCGGGAGGTGCCCCGCTCAGCCAGTCCCTTGCCTCCCCTCAGCTCTGAAAGAAGCCCTTACTTCGGAGCCGCCCTGTGCTCGCCTCTCTGGCCTCCCGCTCCCTTGGAACTGGGGTGGTGGTGAGGACTGGTTGCAGTCCAACTCATCTGGACAGTACCAGTTTTGGCAAGGTTGTACTTAAAATATGGTAGTCATTAGCTCTGCATCCAAATATAGCCATTGTGTATTGTGGGAATTGTTCTGGGCTAACTTGCATCAAATACTAAGACTGGCATTAACAATATTTATCCTTAGTATTTTTCCTTCATTCTTTGTAAATGCCAGTTGAAGTCATCAGCTGCATTATGCAAAATACTATATTTAGTGCCTTGTGTTGTAGCTATGTCACTTGTATATGGACAAGCTCTTCCCCACCTCATCTTGGGCTTCTGCTGCAGCCCGAGTGAACAGAGCAAACATTTTTTAATGTTTTAATGATTTTCAATTTTAATTAATTTTTAATTATTTTTAATTGTAATTAATTTTTAATGTGCAGTGTGCATAAGAATTCGTTCATATTTTTTTCAAACTATAGTCTGGCCCCCCAACAGTCTGAGGTACAATGAACTGGCCTCCTGTTTAAAAAGTTTGAGGACCCCCTGCTCTAAGGGAGCCCGCCCCCCAGAAAATCCTCCAAAACCACTTCTGAAGGATCTTGCCTCAAAGTGATCTACTGGCTATTCCCTTTCCACAAGTAAAGCTGACTCATGGCTTTTCATTTCTCAGCGATGAAGAGAAATGAAAATGCAAAGTAAAGCTCCTGGCAGCATCTCTGGGTCACTGCCCATGAAATGTCCCTGTTCCAGTTTGACAGCAGGTAGCCTCCAGTATACTGTCCACACAACGCATGCCATTTTGGGCCAAGAGGAGTGTGCGAATGCATGCTTGAAAAATAAATTTTAAAAACTTTTTAAAAATTGTGCACATTTGGAGAGACAAAAAGAGGGTGATAAACAAGTGTCAGCCCCTCAGTGCTTTGAAGTCACTTTCACTAGCCATCAAACTAGAAAGTGAGAAAAACAATAGAAGACGCAGCCGCCACCGCTGCCGTCATGTGTAAGTGCGGGGGGGAGAGGCCGTGGTGAACACCAAGGGGCTCACATATATGGTGTGGAGGGGAACTAAGTTGATGCTGGCCCCCATTATGGCTTTTGGGCATTGGTGGGACAACTGGCAGTGACCCAGGCTTGCTTGGCAAGAGGTGTTTGTTTCTCTTGTTGACCATTGCTTTACCCACTTCTCTGGACCTATGATGGGGTTTGTCGCCCATATTTGGATAACAACAATCCACAGTGGGAGCAACAGGTGTTAGTACAAACTGTGGGTTTCAGGATGGCTTCTTGACCTCAAATGAGTGACCTCAGGGAATGGTCTAGGTTTGCATAACATGACAGCCCCTTATAGTCATGTGTTATAAACCAGAGGATTAAGAGATTGCCTGAAAAAAGGTGGTATAAAGAAGACATTATTCTTGGGATCCTAGAAAGTGGCTGATAGGCAGCAAAATGGAAGAAGTGAACGTAGCAGAAATTAAATTACAGTGCAATCATGTACATGTCTACTCAGAAGTAAGGTCCACGGAGTTCAATGTGGCTTTCTATGAGGTATGGGCCACAGGATTGCCACATAAGAATACAAATATTAGACAGGTTAATACAATTACTTGGCATAGGATAGTATCTAGTGGTTAAACTGAAGTTTGTTCCAATAAATTTGATGACATGTAGCTGAAAAGTAAATCTAAATTCTTTTGGGTTTCCCCTTGAATGCAATAATTTTGCTAAAAACAATGGTGAGATAGGATCCAAGTACTGTGACTATTGTTTTAGAAATTAGCATTGTATTTGTGCGTGGGATTGCTTCCCATTATACATGAATGTCCATCAGGGCATTTTTAACATACACAGGTTTCCATATGAAGCAGGAAAGATTATAAGGTTTTAGAGATATAATGGATGTATCTGTAATTCTGCTATGTATTTATACATTCATTTTCCTTTGTCATTTCCCTTTCTGTGTTTAATCACTGATATACACAAGGATGTGTCCAGCTATAGTGTTCAACATCTGAGGCCTTTCTCTGAGTGCCACCTCTGAGGGAGGCTTGGAAGAAGACGCCAAGGAAAAGGTCCTTCTCAAGTGGTGGTCCTGATTATAGAACAACTCCTTATGAGGTCCACCTGGCACCAGCTCGGCTATCCCTTCAGCACCAGGTTAAGTTGGTCCAAAATGCAGAGGCAATTAACAGCATGCCATGATTTTTGGAAGGAGGGGCTTATGTCAGCTGTTTTTCCTTGTAGCAGGCTTGCTGTATTGAAATTATCCTAGCTATTTAAATTGTTTTGCATTCTGTGTTGTATTTTGTATTGCAATTACATGCTGTTGTATTTTGCACTGCATTTTATTGTATTTTACATCTATTAATGTATTACTATACAATGTGTTATTAACTATATAGTTAAATATTATAGTAATGTTTAATAATTATTGAAGAACAAGAGATCAGCAAGGTATATATTAAAACAACCAATACAATATAGTAGCTAAATAAAATTTTTGAATATTAACAGTGTGATCTGTTTAACAGCACATCTACTTGGGAATAATTCCCTTCAGTATAATTAGGGTTATGCCCAATGAAATATGCAGAATATTGCAGCCTAGGGCTCAAATCTTATTTACATTTCCATTGGGGTAAATTACACTGAAATTAGTGGGTCTTAGTTTTGTCTAAAGTCTTGGCTTGCATTGCAAGTTTAGATTTAGTTGTGCTTTGGTTTTCTGACAGTGCTACTTAGTTTTTATAAACATCGAATAAGCCACTTCTTTTCTGCAGTACTATTTTTAAGTGCATCTGTTTTGCTCCTTCACTCTGCTTTTGGTTTTCTTCATTTTTTCCAGTTATGAAGTTTGAAGATTTCTCTTAATGTATGCAGCTTTCTAAAATTTACTTCATTTGCAATTTTTACTTGCTAATGTTTTGTGGAGTTCTATTTTAATATTAGAGAAATTTTAAAGTCATTTACTTAGGAGTTTACTTGAGGGTTACTTCCAACCAAGCATGGGTTGGTTTGTGCTGTCAATTTTATTTCTTTTATATTCTTCTAATCTTGGCAAGCCCCTTTCCCCCATAGTGTTTGGTAACTGAAAGCTTGTTCGGTTTTGCCTTCTCAAGTTCTCTAATCAATTAATTAAAATAACTGAACTTTTTTTTCTTTGAGACTTTTTATTGCTTATGGTGAAGCTGCTTAAAATGTACCATTCTCACCATGTACCATTTCAACAGCAAATACTGCCTAGTCTCTCTCTGAACGAGCACAGTTAATGGCTTTGGCTTCACTAGCTAGAGACAGCTTTCTCTTTGACCGGAGAATTATTAGAATAGATCAGGAAACTTGTGTTTCCAGTCCAGAAAAGCCATGAAAACATGACATACTGAGCAGAGTGCATCTACTAGGTAGATTTTGATATGCTGCATCTGCAGTTACCAGTAAAGCAATGCATTGTCTGTTTGGTAAAGCTGTGAACTTGTGGTCAGCTACTAGGGAAACCACTTTGCCTGCAAGACTTTAAGTCACACAAAAATACCAACAATTATTTATGTATTTTCCTCATCAAATGGTTATACCCTGCCTTTCCATCTAATGTAGTCTACATTCTACACCAGCTTTACCCAATCAGGTACCCTCCAGTTGTTTGGGGATGCAGCTTCCATTAACTCCTGCTAGCATTGGCTTTGGTTTGCAAATAGTGAACTTCCTTTTGCAAGTTGCATATTAGCCCCTCTTAAGAGAATGTAATATGAGGCTTGAATGGAATTATGGTTAATCGTAATAGCAACATGCAAGGCCTCATACAGTAGTAGGCCTTTCCTTTTATACATACAGGAAAAAAAATGCAGCCCTATGATGCACAAAGCATGATATGGGATTTAGGAAGTATATTAAAGGAATAATACTTTTTTAAACAGATCCCACACTGATAAGATTCTTACCTTTCTCAACACAGTGATTCAGTATGGGAGCCAAGTTGTTCCTCATGGGTGTTGGATCTTTTACTTTGTGTTGTTCTAGAGCAGCCTGTTGAAATGTTTTCCCTAAAATAGCAAAAACATATGTAGATTTATAAATTGTGCTTGTTTTGAAAGGGTATGAAGCCTGAGATATGGATGGGAGTTAACCCTTTCCTCCCCCACTGTAATCCCCCTTGAAAATTCTACCCTTCACAGTGTCTAAGCTAAGGAAAAAACCCTGTCTTTCATTGGTACCAATGAACACTTAAAGCTTTGGTAAGTAAGTCCAGGGCCCTGAGAAACAGATTTAGATTTGAGGCTGGGGTCCCATGGGCTCAGGTCTGCAGGTATCCCAGTATTGCAGAACTCATTGGTGTAGCTTGTTTGCTACTTTTTAATTACAACTTTGACCAAGTAGCAATTGAAACATTACAGATAACACAGGTTTGAGACACAACATTCATGGTTTGAGACACAAATGGTTTCCTCCCGTGATATGGTAGATCAACTCTACAGTTGCTAACCCCAACAAAGATAGCCATTTGAACAAATGACAATTCTAATCCAGAATTTCTAAAAGTATAAGCCAAATGCCATTCCAGATGTACTTTCCCTGTATTACCCAAACACCAGATTTAGACAGGCTTAACTACAGCTCCCACCTCATCAGAGACTATAGGTAATAGGATTATGGGAATTGTCTAACATATCTGAAGGGTACCAGCTTGGAAAGGCTATAACACATATGCATACTAACTCAAAAAATGTTTATTATTTTTAATGACCAATATATGGATATTCTTACTGGCCATTATTATTTAAAAGGATAAAAATTAAATAAGTAATGGAAACCATCTTGAGGATTAGTGATTGAAAAGGAGGAAAGGGAAAAGACCACATCTCAGGGACAGAGTGTTGCATAAGCTGCATTGTGCATAAGCTGCATTGTGTACTTCCTGCTGTTTTCAGTTAAACACAACTGATAGTTGCTTTCGCTATTGGGCAATATAGAAATAAATACATGCACACATAAAGTGAAAGACCTTTCATGGAAACCCTACAGAACCACTCCAAGTTAAGTGGACAAAATGGTTGACCTGGTACAAGGCAGCTTCCTCAATCATAGGACATAAATATTTCTTTTAAAGTATAAACATTAAAACTGCTCCCTTGCATATCTATCTTTTTCCAGCAGCAGTAACAATTCAGTCACAATAGAGATAATTAAAAACCTCAGTTAAAAATCCTCCCAGCTTAGTCTGCTACTATGCAGTTTAGTGCCAGACAGATACCTAGACAGGGGGATAAGTTCCATTGACAGGACATCATGGCATGCAAGTCTTTTATAGCAAGTATAAGTCTTCTTTAGACACGCCCAAGAAATAAAGGAGGGAAAAAATTACCTGACGGATAATTAGGCAGTTGTGGAAGATGGGGGGGACACAATAGTACGTGACGGGATCTGTCTGAGAACAATCCATCTATCCGTTTATTATCAGAAGGCATTGTTGTCCAGACTTTACAGGTGAGTATTTGGTTAGTGTTAACTTTCCAAGGATTGCCCAGAGTTTGACAGTTACTCCTTTGATCTGACAAGTCATGTTCACTTCTGCTTTTTTGAGACCAGTGTGCAAAATGTTGAGTGTCAGTCCCCAAACTCAGGCTAGAGCTTGCTGTGTGAGAAGCTGTTAAAAATGAATGACCAACGGTAATTGGTGGGAGACTTTGTGTTCTTATTGGCGGAAGGCCATTGCAGTCCGGCATATTATTTTCAGAAATAAGATACTTCTGGGTATCTGTACTTCTTCTTTTAAAGTCAATAGCTGTGACATTTCCCTCAGAAGAGCCTTTGCAGCTGGTATCCATAATGCAGTCAAATGTGGTGATGATCTCATCTACTTCTGAAGTCTCTTCCCTCCGAGATTTTTCTCTATTCTTGTCCTTTGGGTTTCCCTTCTTATCCTCTTCCCTTTTCTTTTTGCAGAAGATTTGGTTAAGCACACTAAATCTACCTTCCTTCTTTAGGAATTTGTTGCTCTGGGAGGAAACTTGTTGTATCAGTGCAGGTCTTTAAAAAAAAAACCAAGTTAAGGAAAAATGCAATCTTCTGTTTTTCAAGAAAACTGTTCTTGATAAAGTATCTTACCCAGGTAATGGCAAAATCCCACAAACTTGAAATTAAACAGAATGAATGAAACAGAACCAGAAAGGTTCAGATATTTTGCATAGCAGATTTAGAACTATAATAGGATTTCAGCTGACAAGTAATATAGCACTCAGTAACAGCTGGAGGAAGTTCCAGTTTTATCTTTGTTTTCTGAATCTGTCAATATAATTAATTGTGTGCCCTTGGAGCAAAGGCTTGAGATCATCCTCTAAGTAATCAACTTCTAGTAAACTTACAGGAAGTGTAGCTTGTTGCAGTTTTATCAGAAAAATGGCTTAAGTATTTCCACTCTACAACACAGGAAATAATGCTAATTCTAATAATCAACTGAAGTGAGGGGCAAGATAGAAAAATGTAACACTCAGAAGACTGGGAAAAGTTATGATAAATTAGTAGTAGTAAGTGGCTACAAGCTAGAAGAAATGGAAATCACATCACTATTGAGCCAGTTCTAATGAGCAGAGCCTAAAGATATGTACAATTTTCTTTCTGGCCTGCCTTTTTGAGCAGGTTTTGCAGACTGCTGAAGTACTAAAACCTGTTTGACCAAATACCATGGTTGGATGGGGAAAAAAAAGCAATTGCCCTATTAAAGACTGATCTGAAAACTCCAAGGATCAAACTAAATGTGCCATTGGGAGCTTTCCTCCCAGTCGCATACAGCAGGTATGGAATTTCAACTGGGGCTGAGGTAGGAGCAGACTTAAAATTCTGCTCCCCATATCACAATTTTAATCCAACTCTGCCACCTCCAGCTTCTTCTCCTTTTTTATTAAGCTTCCCAAGGTGAAAACTATAACAAGCACCATTCCCTGGCTCTAAAACTCCAATAATAAAAATGTGAAAATAGTTTTCAAAATGATACTATTATAATGAGGATTATTTTTCTTTTTGGATCATCAGAAATATTCCTGCAGTTCTAGCAACTTAAAGCTTGTGATGTTCACATAATCACATTAAAGTTTTCTGTTACTGCTGACCCACCAGCTAGGGTTAGGGAGTGGAAAATAGATTTCACCAAAGTGCAGTTTGAGAATTGGAGAAATACAACATTCTTGTAATAAAAGTGCTACTTGGATAAATAACATCTGGTTCTCATGCACAAATGAGTAATAACTAGAGCTGATCATAAAGAAGCGGATTTTTTGTTTGTTTTTTTGCAAAGATTTGGCAATTTTGAAAAATGCCCCACAATTTTAATAAATAAACATTTCCATACTTCTTAGCCACTGTCAGGGGCTTCCTTGCACATGTGTTTAACAATCAAATGTAGAGGAGAGCAAGGTTATATTGCACCCTACCAGTTCCAAAGAAGAGACTTTGTTTTTGTAATTCCTTCTTACTGGAAGACATTACCCATTTTATTTTAGAATGTCATGTCTATTCTGACATTAGGAAAAATATGCATCCTTCCATTGCTGAGCTGGAAGGACAGATGATCATGAAAATATGTTTTTTATTAAGTGACTCAAATATGTAACTTTTAGAACTGTGAAACTTCTTGTTCTAGCCTTGCATTCATGAGCTAAGGCCAAGGGGACAAATGTAATACATTTAACATGACTGGCAGCTAATTACTTATAATAAACTCTGGTCTGGTCTGGTCTGGTCTGAAATCTGAGCATGCTATCAGCTTCACCCCTATTGTCTGAGTGTTGGGTAGGCATGTTTGTAGAGGGGTGTCTGGTCATCTGGATGTCTGCATAATATACAACTCATGATATGGAACTGGCACTACAGCTGTCAGAAGAAACAATGCCATCAGACCAGATTTTTAGAATTTTGAATAATCATATAACCTATGATGGGGGTGTGGGTAGGGGAAATCTATTTTCAACCAGAAATGACTGGTTTCGACTCACAAATAGAAAATGGGAACACATTCAGTGTAGCGTTATTTGATTATTGCATGGAAAAAACCCCCAACTGTCTGGAAAGGCTCTCAGAGAAAAGCAGCACATGGAACAACCTCTTGATAGTTTTGCTCTAAGGTTAAAACTGTTCCTACTTGGTGTCATGATTTTTGATGGGCTGGCTTGAAGAGTATGTCAAAAGGGAAGACATTACCTTTTCTCTTGTGAGAGTAGCTGGACACATGCAGTGTGACCACAGTACATAGCATAGGTCAGTGGGATGTTCTCATGGATGTCCCTTGGGCTGCTATCTACCCCCAGCTCTAGCAAGGCCTTTACACAGTCAGCTTTTCCTGCTGCTGCAGCCCAGTGCAGAGGTGTCCTAGAGAGCAGAAAAGGAATCTAAGTTATAACCTTGTGTTGTTTAAATTTAGGGTAAAAGTAAGGCAATAGACTGAGCTGTTGAAAACCCTGCAGAATCGCATGATATGCCAGAGGCGAATGGCTTGATCACAGCTCATCACTTCCTGTAAAGCATCCTTTTGCTAAATTTCCTGGAGCTGTGAAATTTAATCCATGTTCTTGTCACTTACCTGTTAGAGTCTTCTCAGTTGTTCTCAGACTCCAGTTCAAAGAAATTGTACTTCAATATTCAGCAAAGCCAGAAGCTTGAATTTCAGTAGTAAACCCTTAATTATGTTTGCATATCTCATGCTCTGTGCAATTCTGCTGATAAGACTTTATCTCAATATATTTGTATTCCAGAGCAAGTACTTTCCAGTTTGAACTTAATTTGAGGCTTTAGATTTATTTATTTATTTATTTATTTATTTATTTATTGTTCCTGAATGGCAGTATTACATAAGAGGACCAACTCCCATCCAGGAGAATGAATATGTCAGGACTTGTTGTCTGACTATGGAGAACAGACAGGCAGCAGCAATATATATATTATTATATATCATCTGTATCAACTACTTCTGGACCTACTGCGTTCCCAGATAATTAGGGCCTGTTTTAACTTCAGTTATTCTTTATTTTACAAAACTTAAATGAATTTGTGCCATGAAAGGAATGGCTTCTCCCAAAATACAGAAAGATGGACATGGAAGGGTGTTTTTGTATGGATGTGAGCCTATTGTAGGTTTTTACCTTCAAATCAGGACAAGTCTTAATTTGTAAATGAGAGCTCAGGGGGCTGAAACTAATGTAGAAACTGAATCTTCTGACCTGTAAACATTCCCTTTAATCCCAACTATCATAATTCTTTACTGTCAGGTTATATATACACTGTAGAACTCACTCCTAGTAAACACAGATTACCTTTTACATAAACAATGTTCTAAGAAACCATCTGAATAACTTGATTTTGCTTTGCATGAATGTGAATTATAACAATGAAGGTTAGGAGACCCACTTGCTGAGTCGTTGCTTAGCAAGAGGGAGCCATTGGGGAGCCCCTAATCATTTCATTAGGGGCTGTGTTTCGTTAGAAAGCAGCAGAATGTCTTTGCTTTCACTGCCAGTCAAAACAAGAAGGACCTTGGCCAGAGCTCTGCAGCTCTTTTCCGTTGGTTTCCATGGTCACCTGTCATCCACGTCAAGGGCCTGCAGGTTGCATTCTGGGACTTCAGCCAGCTCACTGATAATGTCACTGTATCCTGCAGCAGCAGCAATGTGAATGCAAGTCTTCCCATTCTCATCATCATAGTTTATTATGGATGGGCCCTGATGGTGGCTCAGGATGATAGAACACAGTATCCGGTTCCCACTCTGAAAAACAGCAGTGTTCAAAAGAAGCCAAATTTACGGATTAGTGTTAAGTTCCTCCCTACAAAAGGCACTTAATGTAAATATACTTCCATTAAAGCTATCCAGTAGTAAAAGGATCGTTAATTAAGTTGTTGCTTTTCATCAAACAGTTCATTAATTCATTAAATTTAAATCGATTTATACAATGTTAAGCTTCAATTAGGACACTACCTTCTCTGACACATAATCTACAAGTCATTAAGAAAAAAAAATCTTTTGACTTTCCCCCTTCCTCCCAATTTGAGGAAATAGCTTTGCTGTTTCACTTTAGAGTGTTAACAGTACTCTAAAAGGGCTGCACATGCAAGCAAAGACCTACAGTCTTCCTCATCAGTGGGGTTGCTATGGTCCCAGTGTAAAGCCAGTGGGTGTTTATTCACAAATTCCACTGAGTTCAATGGGACCTACTCTCAAGTACATATAGGAAGGATCACAGCCTTATGGAGAGCAGAGAACAAAGAGACATCAGTAGTTGGACAGGTTAGAAAAGTCTTAAATATATTAAAAAATAAAAACAAATAAACAAAGCACAAGCCAATGTCATCTAGGTCATCATGTTATTCAGATTTCTGGACCACAACTCACATTATCTTCGTTCATTGGCCAGGCTGGCAGAGGCTGATGGAAATTATTATTATTGCATTACATGCACAGGCTGCCTTTTCTCTGCTGGCAAGGAACCAACATGGTTTAAATAGTCCTCTCTCCCTCCATTTTATCCTCACAACAACCATATGAGGTAGGTTATATTTCACATATTACTTAGGCTGCAATTCCAAGCACATTTCTCTTGAAGTAAGCAGCAGAATAGAACTAAGATACATTATTCACTGAAATATTTCTTTAAATATTTTAACTATTCCTGTAATGATAGATCTTAGGGTAGGATGCAATCAAGAAAACAACTCAACATAAATCAAGTGAACAATTCAGCAAAAGCTATAAATAACATATAGTATCATCACAAATACTGTCGGAATAAAAGCACACAACTAAATTAAGCTGCAATTAATAAACCACAAATGCTAGGATAAATAGCTAGCTCCTATTCAGCCCCTCATATGGAAAGCTGAATGCATAGAGCTTAAGAAGACCAAATATATATGGCTTAAGAAGACTACACTGGTAGTTTACACAGCAACCTTCCTGTACAACACAGGGTGGGTGTTACAGTACTACACAAAGAAGGGCTCTACATGAAGCTCTTGACTTTGCAAGGGCAGTTCCTTATACAGCTTGCCTGCTTTCATGCAGGCATGATCCATTGCTAGAATGTGCCGGTAGTTTCACAAATTTACTTTGTTTTCAATATTCTGTATTTTTTAAAGAATCATGATTATATATCCCATTTCCACTCCAAAGGACCCTCAGGTTATGCGGTACAATACCAAATGAATACACTTTGAAATGCTTTATAATTAAAATTTCAGTTTAAAATATAGCTGAGGACTATTTTATTGTTTAAAAATACTGAATTATTCTATGCTTTGAGACGGGAGACAGCTTTTTCTGTGGAGGCCCCAACTTTACAGATCTTCCTCTCATGGGAACTGCACCTTGATGATTGCTTTTAAATATACTCTAGAGACCTGGTTGCTTATAGCAGCTCTTAAGAAAATCCAAAACTGTTTGCTGGCTTTGATTGAATTGTTAGTTGTTGTTATTAATTTAATTTTTGTCTTATAATGTTTGTTTTGTGCACTGTTTTGAAAAGGTTGCATAGGCCTGAAGGATGACATATAAATTTTTAACTAAACAACATTTTCTCATGGACCGATGGTAAATGATGGTCATAATCTACTAATGAACTCAGTTCCAGTCATTTTGGGTCACAAAAGGGCTTTGGCTTGAGTTACTCAGAAAAACAACCCTCTATACAACAAAGTTGTCCTGTTATGATTTGAATTGGACTCTCTGTTAGAGAAAATTACAGGGCAATCCAAAATGCAAGGCAATAAAACAGGCAATTGGTCAGGCTCAGACAAGAACAATCAAGATACAAAAGTCAAAGCACTCTAAGCAAACCAATAAACCAGGGATCTCAAACTCGCGGCCTGTGGGCCAATTGCCGGGTTGGGTGGGGCACGGGGCAGGGGCCCTGTGGCCTTCAAAGCGCCGGTGGCGCCCGGGCCAGCCTCTGGGAGCAATGCGGGATGAGCGGCCCACCACCACCACTTGATGCAGCCCAGCCTCACCCAGACTCTACTTCCAGCGGCCCCCAGGTAAGTTGAGTTTGAGACCTCTGCAATAAACAGTTCAGAAGCAGAATCAACCAGAAGCCCTTGCAAGTGTCAGTGGCACATAAGGAAAAGTCCACAAAACAAAGTACAAGGCACAGAACCTGAAGAAATGATGTTGTTCTCGCACTGGATGTCTAAGCTCCATAGCCAGGGCTCAGCTTAAGTTGTGTTACAGGCAGGCCCTTGGGCAAAGATCCCTGTGGGAGGAGGTCCTTGCTGCTGCTGAGTACTCTATTGCATTCAAGAACATCTTTTCGAAAGAGCCCTACTGTTTTTTCTTTTAAGGTAATGACACTTTCAGGGTATTGGTAGTCACACCATCCTCCTCTGGGAATAGACCAACAGTGATTTCTTCTGAGGACCCAGGCTCCCCCAGATCTTCTGACATGGGTCACTCCCCGTATCACTCATTCTTGGAGTTCTAGCTCTTCCTTAGAGGATTATTTGAGCAGGGCATGACAACAGCTGAGCAGATGTGGGAAACTGACTTGTTTTATGGCACAGAACTTGGCCATGCAAAGAGCAAAAAAAGAAAGTTATCCTCCCATAGCCCGGCAGGGGCACTGCTAATCCATTTCTTATTCCCTAGCACTCTGAATCTATTCCTCAGAGTTCTGACTCTGAGTTCTGGTGCCAATGGATGGTGTTGAGTTCTGCCTTTTCCCTAGCTTAATTGTCATGCAAGGGGTGATTTGCAAGAGGTATTGCAGCTGGGTAGGGAAGACTACCCTCCCATCTCTCCTGGCATGGCATTTAAGTCTAGGAAAACTTTCCTCTGCTTTGAGATGATTTGCATGAAAAATTAATATTTATTTATTTATTTATTTATTTAGGGAACTTCTATGCCGCCCCATTCACCGAAGCCTCGGGGCAGCTCACAACATAAATAAATAACATCATATAAAACAATATAATTTAACAGTATAAATTAAGTCGCCCTGGCCAAAGAATTAAATAAATAAATAAATAACATTAACAATTAAAATAATGTTTGAAAAAAAAGGTCTTCGCCTGGCGCCGAAAAACAAATAATGATGGCACCAGGCAGACCTCTCTGGGGAGCGCATTCCATAGATGGGGCGCCACCGCAGAGAAAGCCCTCCTCTGAGTACTCACCCTCCTAATATCATTCACAGAGGGTTCCCGGAGAAGAGCCTCTCCTGCTGATCTCAAGGGGCGGGCGGGCATATAAGGACGTAAGCACTCCTTCAGGTAACCAGGACCCAAGCCGTTAAGGGCTTTATAGGTCATCACCAACACCTTGAATTGGCCCGGACTTCAATGGGAAGCCAGTGAAGCTGACGGAGAACTGGAGTCATGTGAACATAATGCCCAGTCCCCGTCAGCAGCTTGGCAGCTCTATTTTGAACCAATTGAAGTATCCGGACCGTCTTCAAGGGCAGCCCCACGTAGAGCGCGTCAAGTTGGGAAGTCACCAACGTGTGTGTCACTGTCGCCAGGCAGTTGTTCTCCAGGTAGGGGTGCAGCTGATGGATCAGCCGAAGCTGAAAGAAAGCGCTCCTCACCACCGCTGTCACCTGAGCTTCCAGTGAAAGCTCTGGGTTGAGGAGCACTCCCAAGCTGCGGACCTTGTCCCTAAGAGGGAGTGCAACCCCATTCAGGACTAGGTTCAATTCACCCTCCCCGAAGCCCAATCCGCCAACCAACAGGACCTCCGTCTTGTCTGGATTGAGCTTCAGTTTATTGGCCCTCATCCAGCCCATTACCTCAGCCAGGCACCGGTTCAGCACCGGCACTGCCTCACCTGGATTGGTGGAGGACAAGAGGTAGAACTGGGTATCATCAGCATACTGATGATTCCACAGCCCACACCTCCTGATGACCTCTCCCAGCGGTTTCATGTAGACATTAAACAGCAAAGGGGACAAAATGGATCCCTGCGGTACTCCATGGCATAGCTGCCATGGCGCAGAGCCATAGTCCCCCAGCACCACCTTCTGGAATTGGCCATTGAGATAGGAGCGGAACCACTGCAAAGCAGTGCCTCCGACCCCCAATCCTGCTAGCCTATCCAGAAGGATACCATGGTCGATGGTATTGAAAGCCGCTGAGAGGTCCAGAAGAACCAACAGGGATACACTCCCCCTGTCCTTCTCCCTGCACAGGTCATCGTACAGGGCAACCAAGGCAGATTCAGTACCATAATAGGTTACGGTAATAAATTCAGTAATAGGCTGACTTTGCCACCTGTGAAATTCAAATAAAACTTGGTAATTATTCATTTGCAGATACAGATAAAAAACAAAATATCTCTTTTATTCTTACATTTATTTTAAGTCTGTACTGTTTGCAGCTTTGGAATCTGCTTGAAAATGGAGTGGTACACAAATACTATAAATAAAACACATTAATAAATAAAACACCATATGCAAATTTTAGGTAGATTTGTGTCCTGGGTACCTGATGTCTTAGGTACATAGCAACACCCCTGTGCTCCAGTCTTGCCCAAACAGGGTGTGGCATTTGCCCAGTCACCCAGTGTTCTGGCACCGGGCTGGCCTAAGCCTGGGCATACTGAAGACAGCCTTTGTTCTCTGCCAATGTGCCTTCAGTCAGCAATACATTCAACTTCCTTTCTTCTTTCAATTCCAAGCCAGAGTTTTTATACTTCTAGCTTTAGGCAGCTTTGTGGTTAGGCATTTCTTACAGAGCTGAATCACTTCTTAGAATTCTGTAGCTAACTTTGGGTGTATGAACTGTGGGTAATGTAATATTCAAACCAAATTGTGACATAATGTTGTGAGTTTAGCTGCCCCAGTAATTGGTTTTATATATTGTAACCACATTTATCTGATGGCCAAATACTACTTGTCATTTTCTCTCCCTTAGTTATAAACGCTGGTCTGTGTATCTGAGAAACAGAGCTGAACTAACAGTCGTGCAATATATTCTGTGGCCCTCCCAGCAATTTGGAAACCTGCACAGCCCATGTTTCCATTAGGAATACCTTTTTTACTTTTTATAAACTTCGATGTGTCAAACTATGTAAACAAAAGGCTCCAGTGAAGAGACATAGTTACTGTTAAATTGCTCACAGCCATTCCATACCTGAACTGCCCAGTGAAGAGCCGTTTTAAAATCTTTGTCTACCAAGGTTGGATCAGCTCCTTTATGCAGCAGTGTCTGGACATGCTGAGGTCGATTGTGGAATGCAGCCCAATGAAGAGAGGCCATTCCCTGAAAAGCACAACCCAGAGCATCAGAACTGTCCGCAAGGTATTCCTTCCTTGAAAGCAGGCATGATTAAGCGATGAAAGAGAAGGCTTGTCTATAATAAGAACACGAAAAACAAAAGCAAGCCAGAAGTTCCTGTCTTGGCACAGCAGTAGCTTAGCGGAGAGTTGACAGTAATTTGAATTGGAGGTATTTCTTAGCTGACTAAGAAGCATGTGTTTCTTATTCAGCACAGGAGTGGTCCAGGGCCCAAATCCCAATTTGAGAACAGTCTGGGAGGGGGGAAGGGCACAGGAAGTAGGGCCAAGGTCAGAGTAAAGGCAAAGTAGGAGGAGGCAGATGTGATTTATTATTACTACTACTACTAATTATGTTTCTATACTGCTGACGCTTTCTGGGCCAATCACAACATTAAATCAGACATCCGGATTTCAACCAGGGCAGATGCTGCTTAGCAGCCAAGATTAGGCAGGATCAGGCACTTCAATCTATATGGGAACTCTACTTGTTTGTTTTGATTTTATGTACTTGCATTGATGTTGTATTGAATGTATATTTTGCATCAATTATTTGTATTGATTGTATATTTGTATCAATTTTGACATTTTCCCAGTAAGCTTACAAAGCACAGCTCAGTTCCAAGCAAGTCTACTCAGAGTTAGGAGTAAGCCCTCAGCACAATGGTTTTAAGGCATGCATGCAAAGTACATGCCTTCAGTGAAGGCCAGAAAGGGACTACTTTTGATATGCAAGCATATTCACCTTCTCTTACAAGACCAGCACAGATACCTTACTTTTTAAATGGCTTTAACATGTAATGGTATTTAAACAGAAGGGTATTTAGAGTATAATTCCTTCTTATCTCTGACCACTGGGCTTTTCCTGAGGAAGAAAAGCTGTCTTTCTTCCCTGCTGAGCAAGGAAACCTTAGTTCTTATCTGGTAAGAGTGAGGTTTCTGGCAAAGGGCTGCCGCTGAACAGGGCACTGGTCTGTGGGAAAAGCTCAGGAACCACATGTAGTCTGGGGGGGATACCCAATCTTTGCAGTAGTAGGAAGAAACCTTCTGTGTGGGCTAGCATTTCTGACACTTGTTGAACTTAGCCCCACCTTTAAAACTGACTCTGTGCCCAGTACCCCACCTTAACCAATTGCCAACCATCAGTTCTATATGCATATGCAGAGATGCTCATGTCCAACTTTGAACGTCTCTCGTCCTGCTTTTTCCCAGAACCACACAGCCACCCACTAAGTTACTCCACTCCACTTCCACTCATCTGGTTTAGGAAGAATTGAAAGTACAAGCAGCCCTGGGGTTACAAAGGAGTTTTGTTCCTGAGAAAATGGAAATTTGCTTTTAAGTTGAATTTGTATGTAAATGGGATAAGCAGGAGTTAGGGGCACAGGAGCCCTGTGAAAGTGGAAAATATCTCTAGCACCCTTACCAAACTCACCAGCACCTCCTCTTTGCAGCAAGGAAATGCAGACTGATTTCCCTCCCCAGATGGGTGGGTCAGAAAGGTGTGTTTTGGAGGCCTCCCCCTCTACCCTGTCACTTCCACTTTCCTACTGTAGTGATGAATTCCTGCAGTTTTTTAAAAAAAGTAATAGGCTTTATGGCAGTTAGGTCATAAGTATGGGTTGTTCATAACTTGGGTTTCGTCATTCAGGGACTGCCTGTATCAGGCCAGGGAAATTAGCATTGATATCAGGTCAGTACTGCCATCCTACAGGACCTGGCATTTAATCTTCCCTTGGAAGTATCTTGCTCTCCCCCCACCCCCAGAATAGTAGAATATTTTAAAAGGGCAGCATGTCAGTGCAGTATGCTAGTTAGAATGTGGGCTGGGACTGGGAAGATCTGCATTCTAGTCCTCACACATGAAGCTCACTGGATAAGTTTGGGTCAGTCACTGGTTCTTTGCCTAACATACTTCATAGGGTAGCTGCAGGGAAAAAATGAAGACCATGTAAGCCACCTTGGGTTTTTTGCAAGAGGGAAAAAAGGCAAGACGTAAATATAAAACTAAGAATTATATGCGTTTAATGACTGCATAGATTGCATCAGCAGTTTTATACAAGCAACAATGGAAGTTTTTACACTATGTCTCACATTCAGAGAGTAATAGCGTGCATAATCCCACTTTGCACTTATTGCAAAACAATGAAGTTGCTTGTTTGCTGGTTGCACAATGCAGAATGAATGAAGAGCAATAATCCCCAATTGTATGCAAAATAATGATATGAAATGTGAGAGCCAGTGTGGCATAGTAGTTAAAATTTTAGACTGGTTCTGATCCAGAGATCCAGGTTCTAGTGTTCACTGGGTGACTTAGGGCCAATCGCTGACACGCTCCCTAAGCCACTTCACAGAGTTGTTGTGAGGATAACATGGAGAATGGGCAGGAGGACTGTGTAAGCCACTTAGGGCTCCTTGCAGGAAGAAAAGGTGAGATCCGTATAATAAGTAAAATGGTCCTGGCACTTTAGAGTTGGGTGCATCCCAGTGAGACTTTTATTGAATCATTGCCCCATCTTATCCGCATGTCTTCTTCTATTGCTAACTTTCCTGCTTTCTGCCACTACTTCTTCAACTTTTTTCTTACCACAGAAAATCCACTAAGGAAGAAAGGATGCAATGCTTGCGCAATGCTTTCTCATCGGCTGTGCCAGGACCCTCCGCCTGAAAGCACCCACTCTCTCAGAGATCACCATCTTTAATCTGTGGGAATCTTTCTTGTCTACACAGGATGTACATTTTAGGGGAACTGGTTTGCTAACCTCATTGTCCTGGTGGTTAATTTCACTCAGATCAGACTGCTGCAGCAGCACAGTTAAAAGCCTGTGGAGAACAAAGTGATATTTAAATTCAGGGGGGAAATCGTACCAAACCCTTTTCTATTCCATTGATTTCAGTGAGACTGTTGATCCAAGAGACTTTATGACTTTAGCTTTGTAGAATCTAGGAACTGTAAATCCCATGTACACTTACTTGGGGATAAGCAGTATTGAATTGAATGGGACTTAAATGAGTAAACATAAATAGGATTTCCTGTAAACGTACAATCTATCAAATGTTTAGACCAAAAAAAAGTCCTACCATACTCAAGTGTCGTTTCTAAGTTAAAGGTACCTGGGTGGATGGGATTGTAAATGGTGAGGTCAGAAGCACATGAAACACAGAAAATACTGACAGTGACCATTATGTTATTGACTGTGTCCAGTCACAAAAAAAGTAACTTGGAACAGACATCCTGGAACTGCTAAGCCAATTAACTCATGTAGTGTAATAAGAAACCTTTATTCTAATTTAAGCCATATGTAATAGGACCAAACCCCTTAATGAACTGAAGTTCAGGCTGCAGTCTCTTTGAAACTCCTCTATGCCAGGTTTTTTCCAGATCGGTTTCAGTAATCTGTGCACTGGTATGTTGGAGGGGTGCTGCTGGAAGAATGGCATGGAGGTTATTAAGGTTCAGCAAGTCATGCAGTGAACTTTCCCAGTGCCCAAAAGCCGGGATAATTTTTGGAGCCATACCAAGGCCTTATGGCCTTCTGCCTGCTAGGAAGAGCATGAGAAATAATTGCCTTGAAGCTGCTTTCCTCATATATATTCCCTAGATAAAAGCTGTGAGAACACATGTGATGCTCCCATTGGGTCAGTGGGGCTGTGAGGGTAAGGCTTTGGGGCAGACATGCAGGCCTTGCTCTGCAGAACAGTCCAGAGGGCCTCAAAACAGAGTAGGGTAGCATTATGAAGCAATGGACTCTTCCTTCCCTTTACTGAAACAGCTTCATCCGACCCACCATGCCCTGTCTCTCAGGAAGAGGGTGAGAACCATGCAGTATGGAAAGATTCTGGAGCAATGGGAGAGCAGAACTTCATAAAACCCATAGCAAGAGGCATTGTCTTTTGATCTCAGCTCAGAGGAGGGAAACTAATGCACTTTTGCCAATTTGGAGATCCATGCAAACATCCCCTGACCTATTTGGGAAATCAGTACAGTCACTGAGAAAGGGAATGTAAACTTTCTTTCACATGTTTATATCTTGCCTGCATATGGCATCATTATATTCAGTAAATCACATATCATCATTGACCCAAGAGCTTGAGTTCCTTCCTGAATACCTTCAAATCTAAAGTAAAGTTCACCGGCTCAACCAGAGACTGATACACCTAGTAACCTTCAAGTTGGAGTACTGCAGTGCACTCTATCTGTGGCTGCCCTTTCCCTGCATTTTACAGATTAAGTAATTGTGTTGTTTAATATTAGTTTTATTAGATATTTATATTCTATATTTGTATGTTGTTACTTACTGTTCTGTATTGCCATCCTGAAACTTTTGTATTAGATGGGGTAGAAATGCCCCAAATAAACAAATAAATATAATAGGTCTGTTTGGAAGCTGCACCTTGTGCAAAATGTAGCAGCCTGATTGCTGGGACCAGAAGGTTTGACATATAACACCAATTCTACCTATTTGCATCCTTTTATCATTTTATTTTTACAATTGCAATATTTTATATTTTGTATCCTGCTTTGTAGATCTATTTGATGAAAGGGTAACTTTAAAATATTTTACACAGCTCTTGTTACAATTTTGTTGTGGCTGCAGATAGATTTCTTCTCTAGGCATGAGGGTGTGTGATCTTTGCAACAGCCAGACTGAGAAAAGTTAAAGAGAAAATTAATGCGGAAGCTGAAAATCTGTGGTACTTTAGTGCCTTTTGCAGTTATCATAGTCAGAAGTACTAATTTTGTTGACTTGTGCTGATAGGACAGATACAGATGAAAAGGAACTAGCAGCTGCCATGCTTCTGTTTTGATCAAAGGTCTGCCTGTTTCCATGGGGACTGTAGAAATTTTTATTTTGCAGGGATCTTTGTGTGTTGTTGTTAAAATAAATTACTCTTCCTTTTCCAAATACGAACATAGTCCCATTTTCTATGGATGCTTTATTTAATGATAATGCCCTCTTGGTTGCCTTGAAACCTTCAGAGTGTATTGTTCAAATGATGTGTAAAGAAGAATGAAGATGGCAGAAAATTAATTAAGCAACTGCCAGCACGGTGGTTAAAGAAAAGTGGACACACGGGGTACCCAGTGTAATGGGTGCATGAAACACTTATGGCAGCATCATGTACCATTTTTTCAGCTGAAGTGGAAGATCCACCGCTAATATCCAATGCATCAAATACACATGCAACATTTTTTGTTCTTGTATTTGCATACAGATATCTAAATCAAATCATGATTTTTACAGTGAAACAACGAATACTTGATGATGCAGCTTCTTGCCAGTTTCAAAGAAATCAGTCAATAATGCTATGGAGTAACAATGATATTGACTGTAGTTCTGCACAGTTATGCATATCAGAGCCCCACTGAAATTAACAGGAGTTGTCTGCATGGAATTGGGTACAGAATTTTGGCTAATAAGAGTAACAATAACTCCAGTGATTGTCTTGATAAAATGACAATCTGTGTTAAGTGATTTCTTAATGGTACTTTTAACATATTTTGTGCATAAATCTTTAAATGTTCTGTTCATTCTCAACAAAGACAGTCACATTGCAAATCCTTACTACTTAGTAAAACTTATTCTTAAATCAATGCCTTTCCACAGAGAATTGTGTTGGATTTGGCTATTGGGAACTGTGACTGCTTCTCATTCACCATAGAAAAGGTGTTGACAAAAAAGAGGAAACACATTACATAGAAAAGAGGACACATGTTTGCCCAAATTATGTGTATAGATGCTAGTTTGGAAATATGTGCTTCCATTTAAATAGAAAGGCAGTACCTCTCACTATAGTGGAGAAGGTGGTAGCTAGGTGACCTGGCTACCCTAAACCAGGAGTGTCAAGCCCAGAGATCCAATTCCATTTCAGAGAAGATCTTGGGACCTCCATTCCAGTGCTGGGCTTGTCTAAAGGCAAAAGGTGGACAAAATACCCAACAACTATGCACAAAATTCTAGTGTATTTAGTTTAGAGCTCTTTACTGCTAGAAACTAAGCTTTAGGAGAGGCATTTTAACCTTCTAGGATGAGGAAAAAAGCTGGGAAACAACCAAAGGATAGGTGGCTGTGGAAAAAGGAAAGGGAAGGGGGCATGACCATCTAGGGAACCCTGGGGGGCTGGACTGGGACTCAGGTTCAAGACCCCTGCCCAAAACCTGGAGCAATGCTGAAGAAGCAATGGTTTTGGTTTGTTTGACATGTGAGGCATAAACCTTGTTTGATCCTCTTTCCCTCTGTTTATGGTAATTACAGATCATTGTCTGGCCAAGAAAGCAAAGAAGAGGCATTTGAAATGTGAACAATATTAGTGTGAATCTGTGTTTCTGTATGAGGACTGTACACATGGGTGTCAAGCTGAACTAGTAGCTGTGCACTTCTACATACTAGGGAAGCTTTATGTGAAGTCCTAACTTTGGGGCACCTTCTGGTACCAATGAAAGCTCCATGTAAACATTTCGTAGTCACAAAGTCAGCAACAGTTTCACATACTTCTCTGTGGTGTGTGCGTGTAGCCGCTGATTTATTTGTTTGATTGTACTTCACCATTCTAGCAAATGAAATATAATGGAAAATAATACAGCATTCTACGTATCTAATTGCTGATGATTGTGAACTGACACTAGAAGCTCCAGTCTCCTACTAAACAAACAATCCCACAACTCTGAAGCTCTAAACAAGCAATTCTGGGCTGTCTTGGCTAGCAGAAAAGCATCACTGTTCATGCAAGGAGTCTGAGATTCTAATGTAATTCTAACCTGTTCCTGCTACCTATGAAGGAGAAGACTGCTATAGTAGAGAAGACTACTATTTTCATATCATTAGTAATGAAAGACCTACAGAATACACAACTATTAAAGAGTTCATTATTTGTGAAAGATTTCAAGGAACATACCTGACATTGGGATCAGCCGTGGCTGCATGTAGTGGTAATCTCCCATTTTTATCTGGGATATTCTGTTTGGCACCATTTCTTAGCAGACTGACACAGCCTTCAAGCCATCCCTGAAAGCAGATCAAAAGAAGGAACGCCAACCTGCTGGGATCACATCCTTCATCTGAAGAGTGCTATACAGAACACTGAATGGCCACTTCAATCAGCATTGCTGGATTCATAGCTGTTGGAAAAATATCACCCTACCCTAACGGCGTAGTGGCTGAGACAAACGCACCTCAATGCAAAATTTATTTGGTTGCCTGGGGTATTTTGGAGGTAAGGGCAGGTGCTTTTTGTGTACAGAAAGCAGCTATGTAATGATAAGAGCTGGGATTTTTAGACCTTAGTTACATACCTTATTGTTCTGCATGTGACAATATCCTAGAGCGGGGATGGGCAACTTATGGCTCCTCAAATATTTTGGCCCATCACGACCCTCAGACTTAATCTGGGAGCTGCAAGCCAAATGTCTGACCCTTGTCCTAGAAGCATTGCACTTTTGCTTCTCTGCGAATTGTGCAACAAAACATGCAGCGGGGTACAATTTTAACTTCATAAGGCTGACAAAGCCATTCATCCCACCATAGTACAGATGAGTGTGACCAGACGTGCCAGCTCAATATTCTTCCAGGTGCTAATTGTTACTAGCATTGGTTCCTAGGGCTTTTTATCCTGAAACTGGAAACGAGACAGCCTCTCAAATAGAGGACTGCCCTCTGTAAAGGAGGTCACATGGACACACTGTGTTCTGGTCACATAAGCATAAAACCATTGCTTCTTTACAGGCAGTAATTCATATCTTTAGTTTTAAAATTCTGGGCTATATTTTTTAGGACAGTCTTGGGTAATACACTCCTTTATCTAGCAACATGAACAAAGTAGTTACAGATGAAGGTAATAAAGGGTCAAACCAGAAATGTATTTTCATTCAACATGTGCTTGCTGGTTTGGCTACAAAGCAAGGCTGGTGTTTACTTTAATCTCTAAAAGAAATGCTCAGAGGACAGAGCAAAATTTACCCCACCTTACCTTCTTGTACAGGCTTGGATGCTTAAAGACTTCCCTTTAGCAAGCTCATTTCCCATATCAAGCCAGGCAATGAGAAAAAGTCTCAAAGTGTCAAGTGTTGGAAGGCATAATTAGGAAAGTCTTGAAAATAAAACTGTCAATGTCATACTGCCCTTATATGAATCTATGATGCAGCAACACTTAGAATATCGTGTACAGTTCTTAAGAAAGGGTTTTGTAAAGTCATTTTAGAAAAGGGCAACTAAAATGATCAAGGGGATAGAACAAGTCTATGAGGAAAGGTTATAACAGCTGAAATGGTTGAGTTTAGAAAAAAGATGAGTAAAGGAGACATGAAAGAGATATTTAAAATAATGGATGATGTGGAGAAAGTAGAAAGGTAGACATTATTTTTCCCCTTCGCATAATACTAGAACCTGGATTCATCCTGTGAAGCTGATTGGTGGGAGATTCAGGACAGATAAAAGGAAGGCCTTTTCCACACAGTGCATAGTTAAACTTCTATGAAATTTAGTGATGGCCACCATAGTGGGGTGTCATTGCACAAATTCATGGAGGATAAGGCTATCAGTGGCTACTAGTCCTTATGGCTGTATGTACACCAGTTGCTGGGGAAATTAATTGTACTCAATATTCTACTTATAGGAACTGGAGAGCCGCTGGTTGGCCTCTGTGTGAACAGAAAGCTGAACTAGATGGACCATTGGTCTGATACGGCATTGTTCTTTTTAGGATCTTATGAAATGCCGTAGGCGTGGAGTTGGTTATGCTGTATGTTCCATATGCAGGGCCAGCTCTAGCATTAGGCAAGGTGGGCCAGTTGTTTCAGGAGGCAGATGCTTGCAAGCAGCAACAAGGTGCTGGAGGAAACAAGCATGTGCCACCTGGCCTGCCCTTCACCCCCTTAGGGAGCTTGGGTGAAGCTAAGTGACCCACCATCAGTGTTAAAGAATGATTCAGCTGGCGGTCTAATCAGTTTGTGGGCCTTGAGTGCCCAGGGACACAATACTTTTCTCGTCCTCAAGCAGCAAAATGTCTTCGACCAGCCTGGCCCGTGTACTCCTTTAATATTAAAAGTCAATTCCCTCTTACTGCTTTATAGCTGAACCAGCAACTCTGTGTTGGATTTGCCCCAAAGAAGGCAAAGCAATGCATTGCAATGCTCTTCAGTGAGCTCTTAATTCATTTCGAAGCAGCAAAATACAGTTATTTTAACTGATCAGGATAGCTCTATCTGTGCTCCCCGGGGATGGGAGAGACATGGCCAACCCTAGATAGTTTCCTGCCTGAGGCAGAAGAGAGACTCTCTGTCTCTCTTTGCCCTCCCACCCTCAAGTCATGATATATAATATCCAGGAGCAGTAAATTCTTAGTTATTTGATTTATTAGCATTGTATTTTTACTGCCAGGCAGAGGAAGAAGCATCTGTGGGATTTTTTTGCCTCAGGTGCCAAAATAATTTGGCTCGCCTAGGGTACTGCAAACCAGCTCAAGGTGTGTGCACCTTTTGCTGCAGAATGTTTTTACTCAGCCCTGAAAGGAATTCACTGGAACCTGCATTCAGCAAACAGGCCGAGCTGTTGTAAAATTAAGTTTCTCCATACTTTAAAAATATGAATTGTGCATATGCCCACTTATTCAACTGTGAAACACCCCTTTTCACTTCTGCTATTTTTTCATACTGCCCTGCTTCCCCACATTAACATGCATAGGGTCATTTTGTAACCCTGCAGAGATGTGTTGAGATTATTTTGGCAATTTACAGACACTGACAGCAATAATAACACTATAGAACTACACATTTCCTTTTGTATCACAAACACACTTGCATAATGCCCAGATTTTCAAGAGGAGGAAGTACAGCTAGAGTTGCAACACAGAAGAAAGAAAGAAAACCCTAAGAATTAGGATGGAGAGATCCTGATGTGAATTCAAAGAAAATAAACAACTCAGAGAATAAAACTTGTTGAAGTTCTATCCAGTCCAGAAGTGAATCTCATTGACTTCTGTGGGGCTTACGTCTTAGTACATTGGTTATGGGAGGTGTAGTTGATATTTGTCCTCCTGGGTAAGCTTTTGAAATGCAAACTATGGCTTTACACAATTTTTAAAGTACCAAACAGAAAACTGCCTCGTACAGTCAGACAACTCATCTGTCCAGTCCAGCTTGTTTTGTTTTATTTAGTATATTTATATCGTATCTTTCTTCTAAGATGAAACTCAAGCCTATTATTATGGTGTAGGCAAACTGGTGCCCACCAAATGTTTTCAAAACAACCTCCATCAGCCCCAGTCATCATGACCAGTGGTGATGGTTATGGGATTATTGGTGTTGTGGTCCAAAACACTTGGAGGAAACAAGGTTGTCTACCTGTAGACTGGAAGCAGCTTCCACATTGTCTATCTAATGTATCTTTTACGTCACTGGTTCCATGATACTTTTTAATAGCGTACTAAAGATCTGAAGATAAGACCTTGGTTTTGTCAGCTACATTGTCCACTCATTGATGGATGTGGACTTTCCCCCATTCATGCCAAATATGTGCGTACTTTTCTTAGGTGGCTGTATAATTAATGAGCAGAGCATACAAAACAAAGGCTGAAGCATGCCTTTCAGGTTTTTTTTAAGATGTGTACATTATTGCATTTTACTTAACTTCTATACTTTTGTATGACCAAAGTTGCATACAGTTATGGCAAGCCTAAAAAATGATCTGCAAATGCATGAAATAAATGTGGCTCTGAAATGTTGATCCTTTGAGGATGCCATGGGATGGATTTGTGAAAATCTGGTGTCATTTTAATCCCTTGTAGATTCTTCCAGTGTCCCTAACTCTGCCAAGTGGTTTTTTCCTCCTGAAAAATGTTAAAAGTTTCATAAATGTAATTGTTTAAATAATCTCTGAAATAAGATTCAGTTTCTTTCAGCAGAATTTTTGGACAATACAAGTGCAACTCTAATAACTTGCTCCAATATGGAAAGAATGCCTTTTCCCCTTTACTTCATCCACAAAGATTCTGCCAAAAGACTGTAATGTAACAGTGGAACAGATAGGTAGTTTCAGAACCAGGACTTGATGTTCACACCATCCTTAGACAGCTATTCGCATTATTTGAAAAACACAACAAACTTTTCCCTTCTTTCTCTGCCCACTTCCATTTCATAGGTTTCAACTGCTTCTATATTCCTGATATATTAGAAAACCAAACCAAGCCTAAAAAACCAAACTAAACCTGTTTGCTAACCCTCTTTGAAAAAGAAAAAAAAATGTTGAGCTTAGCAGTTGAGATAAGCACCATTTTGCTGTAGAAAAGGAGAATGGCAGTTGAGATAAGCACCATTTTGCTGTAGAAAAGGAGAATATACATTTAAAATAAAGATTATTCAGTGAGCAGCTGACATCATGTAGATGCCCAACTGGCTATCCCCCCTGCCCCCACACACACACACCCTGAAGTGTTCCAACGTGCTCCTGTTGTTCCAGACCTTGATGCTCCTGAGTCCGTCCCCATCACTGGCTGCTCTATGGGTTTCATTTGGCCACCCACTGGACTGCAGGACCCTGGAAATCTGTCCTGAAGTGCATCCCTAACTACCATGGACATGGAAGAGAAGGGAACCGCTATACCAGATAGGTTGCCAGAGATAAACTGGTGCGCCCACAGGCGTCCTGAGTGTTGATATTGGCTCCCATTTTCAGCAGCAATTTTACGGTGTCAAGTTGGCGTCCTGAGATGGCGTGCATCAAGGGGGTACAGCCTTGGAAAGAAACAAAAGAGTATTTGGCTCAAGAGACAAACAGAAAACATTTTCTTAGGACGAAGAATGCACTACTGTTATGTACTCAGTGCTCATACTTATATGTTTTACAAACAAGGACTTCACATAATTTCAATTGAAAACATCTTTTTAAATGAGAGAGCCTGCATTCATGGCTATCCTGTTGCCCATGCAGAGAACTGAATCACTAATTTCATGTGGATTAACTCGTTACATTTTTGCAATAGCCACTTGGTCAGCTTTGAAAGAGAGAAGCAAGAAGGGAGGGCTCTGAAGCCTAAAGCAGAAACCAAAGTAAAATGACACAAGCATGGCCAAGATAATTGAAATTATATTTATCCCATGTTTCAACAAAAGCTTTGAAGATGTGCCCAACATAGTAGTTACCCAGTTGAAGCAAAGCCATTCCTAAGACTCCTTACAAACTAGAAAGGTAGCCATGAACAAGAAGAAAAACAAGTCTTATGGCACAAAAAGGGCTTTTCTAGATGCTGCTTGCCACTTTACAGTGGCTTCCGCTTTTGAATTCTTTGTGGTATTCAGATGAGAGTTTCTACTTTTTTTTTTTTTTTGTGCTGGTGCTGGTGGCGGGGTTATTTCTCTAACTTGCTATATGTTCTACTACATTGCCTCTATGTGGTGCTGTGCTATAAAGGAATTGTGTGCAACCTTCCGCCCCAGTGCACCCAGATGGCAGACTTTCCCCACTTGATCCCCGGCCCCGCTTAAATTCTTAAAAAGCACAGGAAAGGCTTTGGAAGATACAAATGTTATCTGCAAAATCTTGTGGATAAGGAATGGTGAATGTAGAATAAAAGCCTTGTCTAGAAAAGCGGAAAGGTGTAACATTTTAAAATGGAAAGCCTCAGATTACACAAATTATTTAGAAGGCTTGGGTGCATGGGAAGGTCCTAGCCTCACATTCAAGCCCCATAAAGTTGGAGCAAGGTGAACCATTCTGGGGAAGCTGTTGTATAAATATGGTGTCTCAATGAAGACTGAACTTCCTCGTGAAGGAGAGTTGGATCTCTTTAGAATAGGAGAAAACTGCACAAAGGCTGGGAAATGACCAAATGATAGGTGATTGAAGGAAGTGGGGTGGAGCCAGGGGAAGGATGCATTGCCATCTGGCTAACTCTGGAGTGCGGGATTGGAGCCCTGGGCCTGAGGCTCACTTCATTTGGTGGGAACACTCAGAGCAGGGCCTCTGAAGAACCAGGTCAATGTGGGATGAACTGTTCTTTCCTCCAGTTATGTCTGTGGAGGCTATTGCACTTCTCTGCCATCTATACCCAGGCGTGTCTCAATCAGCTGGAGAAGAGTGCAGTCGGGAGGGGCTGTAGCTCAGTGGCAGAGTGCAGGCTTTGCAGGCAGAAGGTTGTGGGTTTGATACCCAGCATCTCAGCTACAGTAGGAAAAACTCCCGGCTCTTCTGCAGGAGGCAGACTGAGAAAGGTTGCTAGAGCACCATGAGCTGTGCCGTTTGGCAACCCAGAATTCCTCTCTTGTTGTTTATATATAATGTAGAATCTCAGCATGGTCTGTCTTTTGTCCACCTCTTATCACTATTCCTATGCAGAATGCAGCTTTTCTGCTCCACAGCATGAAAAACTGCATGAATGGACAAATCAGAAGCAAACCTGTGGGGAAAGACTGGCCTCATTACTTTCTCTTTTTAAGCTGTTCCTTTAAAAATGCTTGCAAAGCTTAAGAGTATAACTGTTTGTGGACACGTATTAGTCATTTCAAAATACTACACTTCTCACTTTGTGGGGGTTTCAGTCTTCCTGTGTGTGCCTCTTGGGCACAAAGTTATTCTGAAGGGCACAAAATGAACGGTTAGCCTTATACCGAGCAGTTAATATCAGTGTTCAGAAAAACCACATGCTTCAGGCCTCTTGGGTCAAGATTTCCTCAGACATTTCAGAAAAATAGGCAAAGAATTGCATTGTTGCTCAAGCTCATTAAAAAGAGTGTGCATGTGGAAAACTTTAGGGAGGGAGGGAGAGTGAGAGAGAACTAAGATAGACACTTCCAACGTGCATGGTGTTTTTATATGGGACAGCATTACTGGTGCTGCAAAGTAAACAACAACAACAACAGGTTCATTATATGAATTTTCACTGTTTGTTCTACTTGAGTGGGATCTAGAATATCACTGGCAGAAGTAGTTTTGCTAGGAGACCCAGGATAGGCCTCGCAGTGCACCACACTCTCCAGTCCTGCTTCAGTGGTAAAGAAAAACGTTCTGAAGAGGGTTTGGGCAGCAAGGAGGGCTGCAGTAGGAAGTAGGGGGGAAAATCCACTGTGCTAGAGGCACAGGGTGACATTGGATTTAAGCCCTTGCTTCTGTTACAATGCGGCAGCCTTACTCTGACATCCTTATTCTGCTCCTCATTAGGAGCAAAACTACCTAGTCTGGGGTCCAGTGTTGGTATTCACCAAGTTAGCTTTCATTGAACTTGACTGGTGAGGCTGTTAGCTGAGAACTTGGTCACTCTAGCCACACAGTTCCCATGAGAAAGTGCTTTTCCTTCCTTACCACCACATTTGGTTTAACCTTGGCCTTTCTGCTGCCAGTGTATGTGGCTTCCATACATGGTTTGATTCCAGTGCGAGCCCTGGGGAAGTAGTACTTGTGATGTACAATGGACAGGAGCTTGGGCAGTGGGGCACTGCAGTTCTTATGCTGCAAAAGGGTACAACCTGATAGAGAACTAATGGGGGGGGGGAACTAGTGGCACAAATACAATTTGAATATATATTGTGTGTATGTGTGTGTTGTATATCAAAAGAGAGCATTAAAAAATCCAACATGCTAGCTGGAGGCACACGACAGAACTTACTTTCAAGGTTGAAGTATGGGTTGTCACTGATTAGGGGAATGGTTGTTGAAATGTGAACCCAGGCATGGTGGCAGACCATAAACAACCCATGAAGAGAACCCATTTTTAATTGGGTATGAATTTTGGGTTGTTTGTGCTTAACAAACCATAATTTGTTGATAGGCCCAGACAATATGGCACCTTGTGTTTCAACGACAGCTCACACTCAACCCATACTCAGGCCATGAAGGTGGTTACCATGTTGTCTGAACCCAATCACTATTTTCTATCTGCATCCAGAAACAGTACAGTCCTGGTAAATCAAGGATGGGGGATTTCAGGTCTGTGGCCCAACTCTGGGCCTCCCAGGGTCCTAATCCAGCCCTCTGGGGTTTGGATGGCCGGGCTTTCTTCCTTTTTTTCCACCAACCAATTGTTCGGTGCTTTCTTGGCTTTTGTACTGTTTTCTCCCCAATTTTAAAACAGCTAGATACTTCTCTGAAAGCTACTGGCAGTATGAGTTTTAAGCTATATTGTTATTATTATTTGGGGGGGGGTATTTTTGCTCCACTCATTGCTTTCAGCTCTACCTGCCACAAGAATTTGCCCCCCAAAGAGCTGCTCAGAAACTGAATTAAGCCCTGGGTCCAAAAGAGTTTCTCCACCCCTGTGCTAAATCTTTAGCATTTCAGTCCATATTGCTTTGCATCTTCTGGCAATTTAGTATTTTAGTTCTACTTTTTCCTGGCATGGCAGTGCTGGGGAAGTGTTAGCATTCAGATTGTGTAGCTGCAAGCCAGTGATTGTGCACAGTCACTCACATACAATGATTTTGTGGACAGAGAAGAGGAAAACTGTATTTGAATGAACAAATCACTGCCTGCTTCCTTCCAGTTATGAAAAGGGAAGTCAAATCCCTCTCTAGTGATGAGGCACTCCGAGATGTTGAAAGTAATGCTAAACATGGCAAAACTGTAGGAAGTAGCCACAACTTTTGGCAGTAAGATGGAGATAAAGAGTTACTTTACCCTCACTGTCACAACATTCTAATATTGATGGATCTTCACGGATAACAGCAGTCAAGGTATTAATGTCTCCATTAGCAGCTGCTTGATACACCAGGGTCAGGTTTATTTCTTCTGCTGAATCGCCTATGGAGAGAAAAGTTGCTAATAGTTAAGCATCCTTCCCCATGCCTGCTGGGGAAGATGGGAGTTTAGTTCAACGTATCTGGACAGAATCATGCTGGGGAGAGCTGAAACAAAGAACCTTGGGTGTGTGAATGGGGAAGGAAATAATGATGTTACTGAGCAATGTTTCCCCCTTACATTCAAGGTGACCACCTAACTATTGACTACTGGAGGCAAAAAATTCTACAAGGTTATTTCACAAGCAGGTATCAAATTTCAACATAACTGCAGTCAGCTGTTTTGCTGTTTCCTTCCAATTCACCTATGCCATGGTGGAAGCAGGAGATCATCCTGTTTTCTAGAACCTGTGGTGTCTTCTCCCAAAGGAATCCTTTTTCCTTTCATACATTTAGGTGCTGCTATTCCTCAATGAAGTTATTTATCAGTTCAGCTGCTCCATCTAAGTGAGCGAGCAGGGGGAGGAGCAAGGGAGAAGGAGCAGTTACTTTGCCATGCCTTGTCCTCTCTTTCTGAGAAGTATCACTTGAGCTTAGAGGAAGAGGCAAGCAATTCGGCAGTGGCGTAACAATGCAGAGTCAAAGGCATGATCACTCAAAGAGGAGAATCTGGCCCATGGCCCTCCAGCACTGGAACTTATTCTACAGAGTAAGTCCAAACCAATTTGGACCCAGACAATTTCCAAGAAAAGTGATACCTCCATGGTTTATCTGTTAGCTACTACGTTTGTTCTCTTAAGAATATTTTCTCGAATGCTGGCTAGCAAAATAGTTCTGTGTTTCTCAAGCCCAGGGCTGGCCCTTAAAATATGTATGAAGAGTTGGATACAGAATTATGAAGAAGAAATACTGTCCCATCAATGGGAAGTTTTATGGACGAAAGATATAAAAGTTACTGCAAGTCAAGCATTGAGAGAAAATTAGCATAAGATGTACTTTTGGTGTTATATTACTCTGAAAGATATGCAGAAAATGGACAAGAACTAGAATGGAAACTGTTGGAAATGTAAAAAGATAGATGGGACTTTTGACCATATGTGGTGGACATGTGATAGAATTAAAAGATTCTGGAAGAAGATACATACAGAAATGCAGAAAATACTCAACATTGATTTTCTTATGAATGCCAAGAATAAGCTACTGAGCATTGTACTAGAGACTATTCAAAAGATTATGATAGAGTTACTTAAAAATATGATAACAGCGGCAAGAGTAATAATTGCTTACAAGTTGAAAGCTGAAGATTGTCCAACTGTTGAAGTTTGGAAAAACAAGCTAGCTGAGTATGTAACAATGGTGAAATTAACTAATTATATTAATAGAAGCCCAGTCAAAGAATTTTCTCAAAGATGGAAAGCTTATTATGAGCAATTAATTAATTGTTAAATAAGTATAATATTTATAAAAGTCAATGACACTTATTTTAAATCCAAAGCAAAGTTATTATTTATAACTAATTTTATTATCTGGACACATTTTGACCAAGAACTGAATGGTTTGGATGGGACTGTGGATTTTCAATTTTTAAATATGGATATAACATGCTATATCTGTGGCTTGACCCTTTTCTCCTATATATTTATTTCTTCTTTTCATTGTATCTGTGAAAATAAAAATTTAAAAGGATTCTTAAAAAGTACAGGACTGGCCCAATTTATTTTGTTGCCTGAGACAAAGAACAAAGCGGCCCGCCTTCCCACTCTGTGTGCAAAAGCCAAGCCGATCGGCAGATGAATCTGTCAGGCTTCAGCACTGATGGCGGGATAGCATCCTTCATGGCACCCAAACTGACAGGCTAATTTAGGGGGCCACAAGATGCACAGCCCTTGTCTTTCTTACGTTACAGTCACGTCGCAGCATCTGTGGCCTGAAGCAACTGCTTTGTCCTGTCTAATGGGCGGAATGGTCCTGTCTGTCTTTCTCATCTTCCCTCATGCTTTTAAAGTCGGTGTGCCTGCATTTGCTTCTCGAACCGCTTCACTGGCCCATGCAGAAGAGGAAGCTCAGAGGGAGGCATGCAACTCTGTGGTTTGGCCTGCTTGTGATTTCCACCTATGAGAAATTCCCCAAATGGCACACCGGCGCTCACGGAAAACCCACAACTAGGCTGGTGAGCATGTGCAGGCCTTGAAGCTTTCGAGATTTTATGCTGATCCCCCTCCCTCCCCTTCTACCAATTTCCATGATTACAGACCCTAGCGCAGTCAAGTAGGTTATGCTTTTCTTGCTGATAAATCAAACGGCAACCCAGCAACTAAGGGATTTCCTGTGCAAGGCTGTTACTTTGCTGCATCTGCTTTTGGTTTCCTCACAGAATTGAGAACTGAACACTGCTTGAGCAGGGGTTCCTTTCCAACCTCTAGGTGGTATAGCAGAATAGCAAAACACACAAGCTGAAGTGGCCTTTTCTTTTGCTTTTACAAAATGTTGCCCCATTTTACAAAAAGAAGTGAAACTGGAGGATCACGATGTCAACCAAAGAACCCATAAATGACCATGAGCAGGGAATGATGTATGCACAATAAATACACAGGAAAGTTCTGTTTGTCCTTCCAGCCTCCTGTGGGAACAAGAGCCTGTTAGCAACTGTACAATTGGGTTGGGGGAACTGAGCACTGGGCACTTATGGTTTCTATGCCTGGAAAGGCAATCAGAGTCTCCCTGACAGTCTGAAATTGTATATTATGGTTGCTTCTCAGAGAACCATGTGAGCTCACAAAGGGAATAAGTGCGGTCAAAGGGCTTTATGGTGACTCTTGCCATGATTACTGGAGGTCGAGACCAAACATCCACTAGAGAGGGCCCCCTCAGCAGCTGCTCCGAGACTCTGCCGCTCCCTGCTGAGGGAGGACATGTTGGCCCCTTCTCTGTTGATCTTCTGTCAGCAGGCAAAGATCTTTTTATTCAGGCAGAGCTTTTGTGGATATTCTGATCTGTTGCCAAAGGCATTGCTAATTTCTTTTATTGTTGCATTTTAATCATCTTCTTTGTGCTATGTTTTAATTAAGATTTTGTTTTAATCTATATTTTATTGTTAGCTTCCCTGAGCAGCAGTTTTTGAGCAGAAAAGTAGTATAACGATAAACAAATAAATAAAATAAAGAGGACATGTGTATGGGGCTCATAACTGTCATGCTAATCAGACCAACACTGTTGCCACTTTCTTTTGTCACTGTCCCTCATGGGGTGGCCCTTCTGACATGGCGTCCCTACCAGAGGGTATTATGCCTAGGACTTCCTCATACTTCACACTGGCCCTGATATCCCCAGGCATTCATTGTAAGGTCTGAGGAGAGACCTCCTATATATGGCTGCATATTCAGTGGTAAGAAGGCAAGATTATATACAGAAATTCTTATGCATATACATACATGGGGCTCTTAATGTGAATGCACACAAAGGTTAAATACATGAGATTCATGGGGAGGGGAAGGAATTTTTTTTAAAACAAATGCTTCCTTTAGATTTCTGTGGTATGACATTTATATTGCAGAAGGGTGGGTAAAAATGAAAGATTTCTTGAATTAGAATAATGAAACATGTAGCCTAATTGCAAGGGATATGGCTTGGCCTAGGAGCCCTTCTCTTAAACTTCAAATGCATAGGATTTCCTTGTGATTATACAGTGCTGTGGATAATGTTCACATTTTCAGAGGCATTTGCCAGGATCCACCATTCTGTTTTCACTGTGGCCAACTCATGGAGCTGTAGAGCTTTGCTACCATTAGATTTCTACAGACTGGAAACAGAAATTCAGAGAGAACCCATGACACTTCCTGGAGCAAAGCACAAGATGACGCATCCCTCTCCAGTCTACAAATAGAAGCTGACTGGACTGGTGGTCAAATCTTATACCAGCACTGACAACGGGAGAGCATCTCCTACCACACATGAGGTAGCACAGCAGGGTGGTTTGGGGGGTGTGTGTGACAAGTAGTATGTCATGCACTGCTTGGTCCTCCAAAGAGGAGGAAAGCTGGAGAATGTATGAATCAGCAAGAAAATGGCATTTGCTGCTTCTCAACATCTGCCCTGCCTAAGGATAAGGCTGGCGATGCAAAGATTAGACACATTCACGAAAGATAGGCCTGTCAGTATCTATTAGTCTTATTAGCAAAGAATGAACGCTCTTTATTACAAGACTTTTTCCCGTTAGAGACTCTGGACAAGTGGAATAACCAGATTTTGCTTAAGAACTTGACAAGACCTGAATATCTGACTGGCTCCTGCTGGAAACAGAGTGCTAGACTAGATGGACCTTTGGTCTGATGCAGCCATTTGTATGCACAGTTGGTCTCCCTTCATATCAACGATGTGATCAGATCTACCTTCACAAAACAAATTGCACCCGGAAACACTTCTTCATTGAATTAAATGGAGAAGCTGTTGTGGGTAGAAATGCTTGAGGGCCTGTCTCAGCAACAGCATTTGCAAGAGATCATTAAACTGAAATGAATCTTAAAAAAACAACTAGGTAGGACATGCCATGAAAACAGAGAAATAGAAAATAAGAGGCAAATTACATAGATATGGACAAAACAGTAAAACCACTGTGATGAAGCTAACATTTGTCCTGTGTTTGTACCTTCTCATAGACTTAACATGGAGCTGAGGTACTTTGGTTTGCAAGTGTAAACCTGATTAGTGCAAACATAATATTAGAGGAAATCATCAACCGTGTGAGTGTGTGTGTGCGGGTGCACACACATAAAGACATTTGTTGCAATGCCAGGTCCTTGATCTCATTTCATAACTGAAACCCACTGATTCTGTGGGTATAAAAGTTAAATCATGAAAAATTAACATTTTCTAATTGAGCATGCAGAATAGAAAATCAAAGAGTAGATGAATAAGGAATTCAGAAACAAAAGTCCAGTTATTTTATAACAGACCAGGTGATTTTATTTCCATAGTAACCTTTTGTGGAGCAAATACAGCTTTGTTTTAGGAATTGGTATTTATGATATGGTATTTTAGAATTTGCAGTCAATTTAAGGCTTACTGCAGGAAAAAAAATAACAACTGCACCCACAGAATTTTCAATTCCTTACACTCTACAATTTCATTAAAATTTATTTCAATATCAGGAAGTATAATTAAGTTACTTATAACAAATTGCAGGAATCAGGTTTCAAATGTATATGCATACAACCTCTTATAGATTGAAATCTCTCATCACAGATGAGAAATATATTAGATAAAGTCACTTTCTCCAGTTTTTATAGCTTTCTGTTAACCTTTTATGTAGAAGATTTACATGGTTGTCCTTAAAAGAGACTGAGGAGGAAACGCCTTTTTAAAATAAATGAGCAGATAGCCAAATCTGACAATTTGGCATGAAATTCACATGGCCCAAAATTTTCCACACGCAACATGTTCTGTATAATGTTCCTAAGCATGCAACTGCAACAAGCACATGAGCATGAATGAATTTTAACATCAGTGGCAAGCAGCTTACCTTTCTGTTGATCAAACACTGATGAAGTGCTAAAATCCATAATTTCTATTGTATTTTCCACCAGCCTTTGTAGTCACCAGAGCAATATTCTTACTAGTAAACAGCACATTTGGATATTGCAGTCACCAGTCTTTGTGCTTGAATTAAATTTGCTTTATGACTGCAGGTTATCATAAAGGCAAATAGGCTGCCAGCCACATAACAGGAACCATTTGCAAAAGACCTGGCTGAAAATAATCGTTGGACATAGGCTAATGTATCATCATTTCATGGAGAAAAGAAACCATCTTTGATCCTCTGTCTGAGAAGGGCACTGCTGATAAGTGCAGCGTCAGCTACACGAATGCTGTATTTAAACTGAAATCTCCATGGATGAATGAGAATCCACAGTGCCAGACGGAGCATGTGCAAAGCTTCCAATGCTGTTTGGATACTGACATTCTCCTTACATAGATGAAACAGCATGTGCTGTGGCGAAAAGAGGCTACAATCTCTCTCTCTCTCTCTCTCTCTCTCTCTCTCTCTCTCTCTCTCTCTCTCTCTCTCTAAATACTGCAAGAAAATACACTGAACTCATTAAGTATACAAAGATTATAATTCTTATATTACATTTATATTTCACCTTGTTTCTTCCTGTGAGGAACCCAAGGTGGCTTACATGGCTCCATTTTATCACAATAACCCTGTGAGGTAGGTTAGGCTGAGAGTCTGTGAATAGTCAGTGGTCAACTTAGATCACTGCTTGGGTGCTAGTCATAAAATATGTACAGTCCAGTCTCCTGTGTGCCTCTGAATCAGGCCCCCCTGTGAGCAATGAGACTAACCCCTTAGTAAGTGTATTTAGCATTTCAGACTTATGGTTGCAATGGGATCCATGCCCTCCAAGAGCAGAAAGAGAGACCTCTGCCCTTGGAGAAGGAAATCTGACCTGACCAGCTTATGCTGTGGGCTGCAGAAAGGTCTGCAATCTGTGCTTCTTAATCTGGGAAACTCTGGATCCTGGCAAATGTCTGTGAGAGTGTGGATTACATTATCCACCTCACTGAGTAACTGCAAGCAACTGCTGCACAGCAAGCAGTTCCTTTGCCAAAATATTGGCACATTTAAGGAAATGGTGACTGCTAGTCAAATGAATAGAACAGTGATCCACATGGGTGAGTAATGACTGGCCAGGGGAGAATAGGGAGACACCAACCACCACACCAACCCCCCATGACTAGTTTGTAGTTTCTGGAACCGGGAGGCTGGTTTGGCATTATGGCCAATGCCTGAGTGGAAGTAGAAGCACCTGACAGTGATTCTTTTGATAGGTGCCTCCTACTATATGCTACATAGAACATAGAAACAGAGTGAGTCAGAAGGACCCTCCTGGGCCATCTAGTCTGACCCACGGCTCCAGCCAGCTCCAGTTATGACATGCCTACCATGTATATTTGATGGCAATTGAAGGCAAAGGAAGAAGGGGATGGCAGAGGATGAGGTGGATAGATGGAGACACTGAAACAGTCGGCGTGAGCCTAAGTGGACTCAGGGGGATGGTGGAAGACAGGAAGGCCTGGAGCAGTGTCGTTCATGGGGTTGCGAAGGGTCAGACATGACTTCGCAACTAGCAACAACAACAACAACCATGTGCATGTCCAGCCAATCCTTGAACACCCTCACAGATGGGGCCTCAACCACCTCCCGGGGAAGCCCACTCCATACCCTCGGGGTCCTGACTGTCAGTACTTCCTGGCATCCAAATTGAACCTTGGTTCCCTGAGTTTGCTCCATGTGTTGACAGGGTTGGGGCTATAGCATTCCTGCTATCATTTCATGCTAACATATAACAGGGTTTTTATTTTTTATTTTAAGGATCTGCCAAATTCATGGAAGAGAAATCTGCTTGTGCCTTTAAGTCTTGGTGGCTAAGCGGAACTTTCATGATGCCTCTGATCCTCAGAAGCTAGAAGGTATGGATTAGGTTCAAATGACATAATGACATGCACTCAAGCATTGCATATGGATTGAGGGTGGATTAACCCTAGGTTGTTGAAACATGAATGATCCTATTGTTTGAACTTACAGTTACTCACCAAGATAACAAACCTTGACGAACAACCCACAGTTCAAAACCCAACAACAAAGCTTGACTTCTCTTCTTGGCTTGGTCATGATTAAGAAGACCTCATTTTTTTTAGTACAGCTGGGTTCAGACAACAACAAGACACACTTAACCTTTACTCCACACCTGAGTTATCATATTGTCTGAAACCAATAACTGAGCTAAGGATATATGGATTTTGTTAAATCCATTCCATCTGTGGGCTGGGGATTGTCAGGCATCTTTCATCCCATAATCAGCTTTGTGAGTGAATTGGATTTTTTTTAACGGAATGAATGAGAATGTTTGTCCCACTTGTAAATACACCAATGGATATCAGTGAGTGTGTACTTGAGCAAATCAACATTTGTACAAATGCCTTCATCAAAAAAAAAAAAAAAAGAGAATCTGTGGAATCTGCATAACTCATAAAAATCTGGTCTGGTGCAGAATTCATGAAAACCCAAACTCATCTGAATCTGTTGCACTTTTTCTGACATTTGTACATTGATGCACCTGCTTGTGACATTTCTAGCTGGTCATCACTGGAGGCTGAGGCTGAGACAGTGAAGTCTGGGGTTGATCCAGCAAGGCCATTTTAAAAAACTGGAATTTCTACCTTCCTTTATTAGTTCTGAAAGAATTGTAAGCCCTATTTGGCCATTCCAATCCAGTGTATAATACATGGGTGAAAGGGGGGAACACACTAGTTAATAGGGCCTTATGGGGGTCTACTTTATCACGGCTACATCTATTACTTCAGTTGTGAAGTACATAAGGAATATTTCTCTTTCCTTGTCTCATTGCAGTTCTACGCTTTAAAACTCCTCCTGCATTACTGCATTACAACAAAACAATGAGATGGGCTGATTCCAGAAAAGAGCCTTGAATGTGCAGGAGCTGAGCAGGGTTGTCATGGAGAACTTTCATTCATAATGTTACTGTAAGTCAAAAATGACTTGGTGACGCTTAACAACAACAACAACAACAAAACAAACCTGATGGTAGTCTTGATTTTTTTTTTAGAGTATTGTACAATGTGAGCATGTGCATTTTTGCATTTTAACCTTCTTAAGTCATAGCAATATCATAAGTATTGGAATAAAGTGGAATTTGCTTCTTCCCTTGTTGCTTTATGCGTGGTTGTTTGCCACCTTCTGGGCTATGGGTCCCTAGACTTTGGCCCCTTGGACCTCCCCTAGGTGCACCATTGCAGCTCTACACCAGGGGTCTCAAACTCAACTTACCTGGGGGCTTCTGGAAGTAGAGTCTGGGTGAGGCTGGGCCACATCAAGTAGTCCACAAAAAAGGGATTTCAAGTATTCCAAAAAAAGTACAACTGATCCAAACTTCTCAATCTTTACTAATAATAATTCAGAACATGAACGGTTCTTCAGAACATAGGCTTCTCTTACTTCCTCCTACTCCTTGCTGCCAGAGACCTGACAGCGCTTCCTCTTACACAGCTGAGCCACATTTGGCTTGAGGGAGGAAGCAACTGAGACCCTCAGTATGGCTTGAAGATGCTCATCAGTAAGTCTGGACCTGAACTTTGCCTTATTAAAGTTCATGGTGGAGAAGAGCTATTCACATAGATAGGTGCTCCCAAAAAGGCACATGGTCCGCTTGAACATCCTGGAAAGCTCAGGGAAGGTAAGGGGCAATTCTCTCAAAAATTGTCCAAGCTTGTCTGCTGTTCCACTCACCTCCCTGAACTTGACTTTGAGTTCAGAATTGCACTGCAGGTCAATTAGCTCCATTTGAAGCACAGGGGGGGGGGGGCATCTTCCACATCGAAGGAGAAGGGGTCAGCAAAAATGTGAAAAGTGGCTCTGTGTGTCTTGAAATCTGCAAACCTGTGATCAAATTCTTCCTGTAGCTTTACAATGGCATCAGCATACTTCTCACCACTGAATGGTGTGCCAGAATCCATGAGTGCCTTGCATGCTGGGAAATGGCAGAGGTTTGTCTGAGAAAGCTGGGTTTTCCGTAACACAAGTTTTGTGGTGAATGCTCTGACATTGTCATAGGCAGCACTGACAAGCTGCCCCTGGCCTTGTAATTTCTTGTTCAGTACATTCATCTCCTGTGTGATGTCAACAAGAAAAGCTAAGTCCTTGAGCCATTTGGGATCACTTAGTACAGGAACAGCCATCCCACCTTTCTCCATGAAGGTTTTCGCCTCTGCTCTCAACTCAAAAAACCTCTTCAAGACGTTTCCCCTGCTAATCCAACATACCTCGGTGTAGTAGAGCACATCCTCATATGCTGACTCTATTTCCTCTAAAAAGGCGCGGAACTGCCGGTGCTTTAAGCGGCCCACCACCACTGCTGCCGCCCAAGGCCGACCACTGCTCATCCCACGTGGTGGGCCGCTCATCCCGCGTGGCTCCCGGAGGCCGGCCCGGGCGCCGCCGGCACTTTGAAGTCCGTAGGGCCCCTCCGCTGTGCCCCGCCCCTCCCGGCTTAGAGGGAACATTGCGCCCAGGGTAATGACTCACACAGGTGCGTGTGAGAAAAATGCGCGGGCCGCACTATCACTAAACTTTGATATCAAGTGGGGGCCACAAAATATCGTCCCACGGGCCTCAATTGGTCCACGGGCAGCGAGTTTGAGACCCCTGCTCTACACCCTGTCACCATTTCCATCGCCCTTGATGCACAGAGGGCAACTTTCTGAGAGGGGGCATCCCTCTGTCCGTGAAGGCTCTCCACACAATTTTGAACAGAGTTACAATGGCTCCAGAGCCAAAACGGAGCTACCGAGAAAGAAGTAGGCACTACCAGCATCCTGGTGCAAACCTAAACTTTGCAGAAATATAAAAAACATCTTTAGGGATGTAGGCAGTCTCAGAAAGCCAAATGAAGACTGAGTATGTGTAGAGTTTTTATATTGTGCTGAAGGATACTGCAAATGGTCCAAAATGCCGTGGCTATTGAGTAATATAAAAAACTAA